GCTGCAAATTTAATGATAATACGGTGTCGCATTTTCGCAAAATTTTGAAGCGTGGACAAAAACAAATGTCTCTGGACATCTTTCTAGTAAAAAAATATTTAGCTATGTATCATAATGATTTGAACTTTTGTTTTCTGCAAATTGAATTCGCATTTCATGTGGGTTCATTCCGCGTTTGAAAAAAAGATAAAGATGATTCACTCTCCTTAAATATGTATATAATTTTCTTTGATTAAATGTTATAGTATAACTTATACATAGCATTTTGTGAGTATTTTTTCGACATGGAACGCATTATCGTATTTTAGATTAATTTATATAAGAAAAATTGCTTCTCATTACGAGTGTTTCGCCTAACGAGTATGATTCTTGAACGAATGTTGCTCGTTAAGCGAGGTTCCACTGTATAATACAGTTTTAGAAATGAGGAAATAATCAACAAACTTTAACAGGACATGAAACCCAGAGAGAACACAGACAGAACTGAGAGAGAACAGAGACAGAACTGAGACTCAGAGAGAACAGAGACAGAACTGAGACCCAGAGAGAACAGAGACAGAACTGAGACTCAGAGAGAACAGAGACAGAACTGAGACTCAGAGAAAACATAGACAGAACTGAGACTCAGAGAGAACAGAGGCAGAACTGAGAGAGAACAGAGACAGAACTGAGACTCAGAGAGAACAGAAACAGAACTGAGACCCAGAGAGAACAGAGACAGAACTGAGTCCCAGAGAGAATAGAAACAGAACTCAGACTCAGAGAGAACAGAGACAGAACTGAGACTCAGAGAGAACAGAGACAGAACTGAGAGAGAACAGAGACAGAACTGAAACTCAGAGAGAACAGAGACAGAACTGAGACTCAGAGAGAACAGAGACAGAACTGAGACCCAGAGAGAACAGAGACAGAACTGAGACTCAGAGAGAACAGAGACAGAACTGAGACTCAGAGAAAACATAGACAGAACTGAGACTCAGAGAGAACAGAGGCAGAACTGAGAGAGAACAGAGACAGAACTGAGACTCAGAGAGAACAGAAACAGAACTGAGACCCAGAGAGAACAGAGACAAAACTGAGTCCCAGAGAGAATAGAAACAGAACTCAGACTCAGAGAGAACAGAGACAGAACTGAGACTCAGAGAGAACAGAGACAGAACTGAGAGAGAACAAAGACAGAACTGAAACTCAGAGAGAACAGAGACAGAACTGAGACCCAGAGAGAGAAAAAGAGACAGAACTGAGACTCAGAGAGAACAGAGACAGAACTGAGACTCAGTGAGAACAGAGACAGAACTGACACTCAGAGATAACAGAGACAGAACTGAGACTCAGAGAGAACAGATACAGAACTGAAACTCAGAGAGAACAGAGACAGAACTGAGAGAGAACAGAGACAGAACTGAGACTCAGAGAGAACAGAGACAGAACTGAGACTCAGAGAGAACAGCAGCAGAACTGAGAGAGAACAGAGACAGAACTGAGACTCAGAGAGAACAGAGACAGAACCGAAACCCAGAGAAAACAGAGACAGAACTGAGACTCAGAAAGAACAGAGACAGAACTGAGACTCAGAGAGAACAGAGACAGAACTGAGAGAGAAGAGACAGAACTGAGGCTTAGAGAGAACAGATACAAAACTAAGAGAGAACAGAGACAGATCTGAGAGAGAACAGAGACAGAACTGAGACTCAGAGAGAACATAGACAGAACTGAAACCCAGACAGAATAGAGACAGAACTGAGACTCAGAGAAAACAGAGACAGAACTGAAACCCAGAGAAAACAGAGACAGAACTGAGACTCAGAGAGAACAGAGACAGAACTGAGACTCAGAGAGAACAGAGACAGAACTGAGACTCAGAGAGAACAGAGACAGAACTGAGACTCATAGAGAACAGAGACAGATTTGAGACTCTGAGACTCAGAGAGAACAGAGACAGAACTGAGACTCAGAGAGAACAGAGACAGAACTGAGACTCAGAGAGAACAGAGACAGAACTGATGTCCTCTATGGCCCCTTGATAAACTAACAGGTGCTCTCTGTTAGTGGAAACAAGAATGACTATGGGAGAGAGTCAAAGAAACATCATCAGCAGAACTAGGCAATACAATATGAGTGCTTGCCATCAGGCCTAACAAGCATGCCATAAAACCTAATTAGGGAGGTTCCCTTCAAAGTTGGAGTACACCTGCATAAGAGGTGAGGAACAAACAATCTGCATATAATTAAGACAGATCTGTAAAACAGTAGTGCATGCAAAACTCATGTTCTGGAATAAATGAACAATCAAAATTGTCAGCTGGAATTTACATCTGGGGAACACAAAGAATCAGACAATATGAATGCTGGTTAAAAAAAAGGATTGTCATTTCAGATATCTACACAAATGCAAAAATGAAAATGCATTAATATTAAAAGCAAAATCAAATCACAACCATTCATTGTTGTGAAATATGTTTCTTCGTGGCTTTTTTCAGGTTACACATTGGAACATGCCATATATCTACCTCTAAAGAAAACAAATGACAAATCTTAAATGTTTATTATTTAGATACAAAATTATTTATCTTAAGCTAAAAACAGTTTTAAAACATAAAGTTAAAAATAGACAGCATACCCACCTAATTTTCCTAAAAAATATGCCCTGTGTCTTATTAGGCATTGGCTTCAGTCATGACACGCACAAGAAGACATCAGACTTATTAATTCACAGTTTACCATTCACCACTTGAATGGCAGGCAGTTCATCTTCAAACATAGCAACTGCTACTTCAAGTAACTAATAAAAGATTGTCCAGATGATGCTTACGACGGTTAATGATTGACCAGTAGCTTTGAAAATATCTTCTCTGATGTATTAATTCATTTATGTGCAAAGTTATGCAGCACACAAGGCTCATAGTATATTTCTCCATGTTTTTCTTGTCCTGGGTAATGTTGTGTAAGGAACCTAGTCAAGCACTGCTGGCCTCTCTCATCAATGTGTGTTGTCAGGTTTTGCTTGTACATCTTTGATTTCTCAGTTAATCTGTTTCCCATTTTAGGGCCTGTTTTGTGACTCCTTGTCAACTTCACCTCTGAATGTGCCCCATATATTCCCATCTGCTGTCTCCTATAACTGTTGATAGATTGTTGATCCACTTACAATCCCCGTCTGCTGTCTCCTATAACTGTTGATAGATTGTTGATCCACTTACAATCCCCGTCTGCTGTCTCCTATAACTGTTGATAGATTGTTGATCCACTTACATGCAATATTATTTTAAAAGTTCTGTTTCTTTGTTGGGCTTTCTTTGTATGATTTGGTAGAGTGGTCTAGCGGCTAGACTGCGGAGCGGAAGGTCCTGGGTTTGCTCCCTGGCAGAGCCAGACTTTTAAAAAAACAAACTTTGGCTCCCAGGTCGACCCAGCCTTGAGTGGGTACCGGGTGCAGTCGTGGGAAGTAAAGGTGGCTGGTGTGATGCTGACCACATCACACATCTTGTGCCGTTGTCTATAAAATATAGGTCTAGCCCTATATACCCAATACACCTGTAAGGCGTGGAAAAGGGTCCTTTACTTACTTTGTATTATTGAAGTCCTGATCTTACAATGTCAAACCATACATATAAAAGGGAAAGAAAAATACTCCTTGTTTTACATCATGAAATTAATTGGATGTATAGTGCTGGGTACATGCTTGTAGTATTTTCATCAAGGAGGAACGGCTGGATGAGTGGTTACAATACTGGCCTCTCATAGTGGAGAGCCAGCTTTGAATCTCCAGTAAGGTGATGAACAATTTTGCTATAAGCAGTCAAAATACAAATCCGACTCTGCATAGTTCACGGTGACTGCAATATTCATAAAGCCTTAAAACCTCAGGCTCAAGGACTCCCCCACCCTCTCCCCACCATCCCACCTTCAATATCCACCTACACCACTTTAAAATCCAGTAAATCAGAAATGAAAGCCAAATTTTTGTTCATATATAAACATCTCTATTCTTTTAAATTTTTAAAGAACAGTCACAATTTCCTTAGCACAAACCATAAACTAATTTGCTAGAATCAGGATAGAAAAAATGCCTATGAACAGCCAACAAGAATTAGTATGGCAGTAAATGTTGTTGTTTGGTACCAGAGAACAGTTAAATTAGTCATCTACTCTTGCTAGTTGACAATCATTTTAACTCCTTCACTATCAAGGAACTCACTGTATATTGATAAGTCTTCAAATTTTATACTTTAGCCTTTCACCTTTAGAAGCCGCAAAACAGACACTTTTGGCTGCTACCATTTTCCTGCAAAAGCAGCTTTCCTGGCTCAGAAGTCATGGCAGTTGTGCCTTTGCAAACGTTCAGCATGACAGTGGATGACTCAATGTACTGGGAAAACAAAATAACATCCAGAAAGGTTTCCTTTGTAAAAAATGGCTTTCTTCACAGAAATACCAATGTGTTTTTCCTATTGGCTGCAGTGGTGACCAGGCAATGGGGTCACAGGGTCAAGTAAGTGTTATGCTACAATTAGTTTACAGACCCCAAGAGATGTAAGCCAGGTGATGCTATGCTGAGTTCTATGTTAATAATCATTCTCCTGACTTTGTAAAGTTTTTGTTGCTATTTTGGAAGATACATTAATTTTTTTTTTTTTTTTAAGTGTGACATGTGTCACATTGGTTGTTTTCTAAGTATTTTTGCTTTCGTTTTTAAGAATAAGCGAAAAAGGAAAGTACGTTAGCTTGTTTTTTTTCTAGAACACTGAGGTAAAGAGTTAATATCTTCTGTTGCACTGTTTAATCTCTTAATCTATTTTTACTACCACTGTTAATTAACTTGTTCTGCCACATGGTTGTACTGTTTTAACTGCTTCAGATTCAAAAACTTGTTATTTAAAAGTACATACATTAGGAGGCAGACTTTGTTTGATAAACAACTGTCTTAGATTGAAAACAAATTCACATGCCAGTTAGCAGGTGTGAGTTTATGTTTCATCTGATTTGTTTACCTAAACACTTTACACCATTATTCGTGTTCCTGGTATGTATCTAGATTCTTTCCATATGTTACTCTCCCCACAGTTCTGCAAGCGACGTCTGCACTGGCGACAACTTTTATACTGGTCACACTGCTCATGAACCAGATTTCCTGGACTCAAAGACCATAAACGTTCCGTGAGTTCCCGAGCATTCTTGCCTTTTGTCATGTTCTGCCAGTCACTTTCAAGGTGCTTGCGTGTCTCAAAGCGAAGCATATGTTTGAAGACCCTCTCGTCATTTAAGCTGAAAAGAAAAATATTAAATGAGACATCATCATCATGTAGCAAGAATTCACAGAATGCCACTATCATCACAGTATTCTGGTAAGACCCTTGATCCTTTGGCTCCCAATGTGGGTTCTAGGCCCCCATTATGGGAAGAACAAGAAAAGACCCACTGCCTCCCCACAATCATGCAGTAAGAGTTGTCTGACTGGGAGCTTCCTTCAAAGTTGGAATGCATTTTCCTGAGAGGTAAAGAACCAACAGTCTGCACACAGATGAGTCAGATCTATAAAACACATGTGCAAGCAACACTCAGATTTTGGAAAAGGATAAAAGTCCAAAAGTGGATGAGCAACTAGAACTTTCTGCTGTAGTTTATAGCCGGTGAATGCACAGAAGAAAAAAAAGAAGAAGAAGAAGAAAAAGAAAATGACTTCTCAGTTCCCCTACTTCATGCATTTTCATGCACAATGTGTTTTTAATCCCCTGATTACCCAAGCCTGTTAACCCTTGCACCTTCTCAGACATCATGGCTTTTAGTGTCTGCTAACAAAGCCATAGCTTCATAACTATTTGACATAAACTCACAATATTTTGTATTTTTGTACCAAATCGAATAGAAAACACATTTCAAGAATTACAAAAATTGTATAATCTTGTTTAACATCATCATGTGCCATACATTGGTGCAAAAAAGGCAACCCAAAAATATTCTTATACCAATGTAGGAAATTTTTTTTTCTTCTTAAACAATCCTGGATGAGAGCTCTTCCTAACTGGGAAATCAAATTCTGCAAATTCATTAGCTGTTTGAAATTTTGCACCCAGAACCTCTGTTACAGTATGAATAAACTGTCAAACAAAATAAAAGCCACAAAAACGATCTTTTCCTAGAACATGCATTGTGGGGATGACACGTCAGTAAACATTTATGATTGCATTGTAAGGATGACATGCCAGTAAACATTGAGGATTGCATTGTGGGGATGGCATGCCAGTAAACATTGAGGATTGCATTGTAGGGATGACATGCCAGTAAACATTTATGATTGCATTGTAGGGATGGCACGCCAGTAAACATTTATGATTGCATTGTAGGGATGGCACGCCAGTAAACATTGAGGATTGCATTGTGGGGATGACATGCCAGTAAACATTGAGGATTGCATTGTGGGGATGACATGCCAGTAAACATTGAGGATTGCATTGTGGGGATGACACGTCAGTAAACATTTATGATTGCATTGTAGGGATGGCACGCCAGTAAACATTTATGATTGCATTGTGGGGATGGCACGCCAGTAAACATTGAGGATTGCATTGTAGGGATGGCACGCCAGTAAACATTTATGATTGCATTGTAGGGATGGCATGCCAGTAAACATTGAGGATTGCATTGTAGGGATGGCATGCCAGTAAACATTTATGATTGCATTGTAGGGATGGCATGCCAGTAAACATTGAGGATTGCATTGTAGGGATGGCACGCCAGTAAACATTGAGGATTGCATTGTAGGGATGGCACGCCAGTAAACATTTATGATTGCATTGTGAAACCATTTTCACTAAATTCTAAGCCACAGAACCATAATAAACACAATCTATACTAATAGACACATCTAACAATATATACCTCAATCACATTTGTGAAAAAGTTTACACGAACTAATGTAACATAACACACCTACCTCTGACTACCACACCACTACTGTAAGCTAAAAGTGGTCTTCTAGCTTCAAAAATGTGTTTGATGGCAGTTCATAAGAATCATCAAAGTCACAGTCATCAAACTGATCAGAAATATCTTCACCTTCACTTTCCAATTTAAAACAATCAAGACAATATCCCGCTGCATAATAAATATTCTCAGAATTGTTGCACACACCGGCCTTAACGATCACCCATTTATGACAAAATGCTCTCATGCATTATCAACATGGAAGCTAACCGATAAAATTCAAAAAAAATTTATTTTCAAAATTACAGAACTGTTTTTCCTTAAATAACCATAGGGAAATTGATAAACTAATGGCCTCAATTACATTTATTGCAAAAATCGCAATTTTAACATGGCAGCAAGAGCCAAAAGTTACAATCGCAGGGGGTATGAACATGGAAGTCAGGCACTGGTGGATCAGACGACATGCAATCATGGTAGTCAGGCACAAACATCGGTGGATCACATAATGCGCGATTATGGTAGTCAGGCATAAACATTGGTGGATCACATAATGTGCGATCATGGTAGTCAGGCGTGAACATTGGTGGATCATATAACATGGGATCATGATAGTCAGGCATAAACATCGGTGGATCACATAATGTGCGATCATGGTAGTCAGGCATAAACATCAGTGGATCACATAATGTGCGATCATGGTAGTCAGGCATAAACATCGGTGGATCACATAATGTGCGATCATGGTAGTCAGGTCTAAACATCAGTGGATCACATAATGTGCGATCATGGTAGTCAGGCATAAACATCAGTGGATGACATAATGTACGATCATGGTAGTCAGGCATAAACATCGGTGGATCACATAATGTACGATCATGGTAGTCAGGCATAAAAATCAGTGGATCACATAATGTACGATCATGGTAGTCAGGCATAAACATCGGTGGATCACATATAGTGCGATCATGGTAGTCAGGCATAAACATTGGTGGATCACATAATGTACGATCATGGTAGTAAGGCATAAACATCGGTGGATCACATTATTTGCGATCATGGTAGTCAGGTGTAAACATTGGTGGATCACATAATGTACGATCATGGTAGTAAGGCATAAACATCGGTGGATCACATTATTTGCGATCATGGTAGTCAGGTGTAAACATTGGTGGATCACATAATGTGCGATCATGGTAGTCAGGCATAAACATCGGTGGATCACATAATGTACGATCATGGTAGTCATGCATAAACATCGGTGGATCACATAATGTACGATCATGGTAGTCAGGCATAAACATCGGTGGATCACATATTGTGCGATCATGGTAGTCAGGCATAAACATTGGTGGATCACATAATGTACGATCATGGTAGTAAGGCATAAACATCGGTGGATCACATTATTTGCGATCATGGTAGTCAGGTGTAAACATTGGTGGATCACATAATGTACGATCATGGTAGTAAGGCATAAACATCGGTGGATCACATTATTTGCGATCATGGTAGTCAGGTGTAAACATTGGTGGATCACATAATGTGCGATCATGGTAGTCAGGCATAAACATCGGTGGATCACATAATGTACGATCATGGTAGTCATGCATAAACATCGGTGGATCACATAATGTACGATCATGGTAGTAAGGCATATATATCGGTGGATCACATTATTTGCGATCATGGTAGTCAGGTGTAAACATAGGTGGATCACTTAATGTGCGATCATGATAGTCAGTGGGTTAATGTTTTGTGTCTACGGATGTTTAGATGGCCTCTTCTTTGTTTTCCACAAATTATGCTTTTAATTACTTATCTTGACTGTAGTGACAACTGATGTTGAAAAGTATTTCAGTTTCTAAAATATGATACTGTTTTTGAGCAAGATCCCCCCACCCCTCCTCCTGTTTTGAGATCTGTATATTGCACCTCTATATATATATATATATATATAGATCTGATATAAGAAAATTAGTATTGTGTGTCTTGGTTCTCAATATGTTTCACAGAGATTGCTACATTCAGTTACAGAACAGCAACTATAAAGATGCATGCCTGTTCACACCATCTGGCACATCACTTGATGATAATGATATCTGTAATGCAAACTATTCTGAACTATTCGTATTTATGACTGATGGCAAGGTATAATAAGTAAATAAATATTTAATTTATTGCATTCAAATAAAATAATTTGATACTGAACAGAGATCAGAATTTAATAAAAACACAAGTGGATGGAGTGTATAAAGTGGCAGAAAAAGACGTAAAAGCATTTTAAATCGACAAAACACATAAACATACTCCTCCTTAGCTCTCTTCAACATTTCCTCTTCCTGCTTTTGCTCTGCCAGTCTGGCTATAATGGCATCCCGTTTCTTCTGTTCAACAAGCGATTTCTGCTCCTGCAACAAACTGTATGCCTTCTGTCGACGTTCAGCCATCTTTTCGCTGTTCATGTCATGCTTGCCAAAAACTTCGCTATCAGGCTCTTTCTCAGGCAATGATGGTGGTTTGAATTTCACCTGTCAATATGTCAGTTTCAGTCTCAAGGAGTCATACAAAGTGTTAACATGTGTAACCACAATTCACAAATAGAAAAACTTCATTTAAACTGTTCTGTCTTAATCACTTGTTACATGAATACATTGGCTGCAGACACAGATCACTCTTTGCACGAAGCGCTGGACGTAGTTAAAGGACAGTGGCTGATATGAGGGAAGTCATGGATGGAGAACATTAGGCGAGGGTCAGAGTGCGAGAACATTAGGCGAGGGTCAGAGTGCGAGAACATTAGGTGAGGGTCAGAGTGTGAGAGCATTAGGTGAGGGTCAGAGTGTGAGAACATTAGGCGAGGGTCAGAGTGTGAGAACATTAGGTGAGGGTCAGAGTGTGAGAACATTAGGTGAGGGTCAGAGTGTGAGAACATTAGGTGAGGGTCAGAGTGTGAGAACATTAGGTGAGGGTCAGAGTGTGAGAACATTAGGTGAGGGTCAGAGTGTGAGAACATTAGGTGAGGGTCAGAGTGTGAGAACATTAGGTGAGGGTCAGAGTGTGAGAACATTAGGTGAGGGTCAGAGTGCGAGAACATTAGGCGAGGGTCAGAGTGTGAGAGCATTAGGTGAGGGTCAGAGTGCCAGTAAAACAGTCATACTTGTGCAGTCCCATTGAGCCAGGATTGCAGGGAGTAGCAAGCAAGTGCCAAGGATGTGGAAATTCAGCAAATAATTCAGGATAATGCTGACTTGGGTGATGTGATTATTGACAGATGGTGCGGTGTTGAGAGACAACAGACATGCCTGGGGTTCCAAGCAAAAGGTAATGGTCAATATCTCATGCAGGAGGCATATGATACCACAACATCTAGCTTAAGAATGGAGGTGGTCACTGCAGCTTTCCACTGGCTTGAGAACATGATAAACATATGTTGTGTTTGTAACTGACTCAGAAAGCATGCTGAGGAAGGTGAGGACAGGTATGCTCCATGCAGAGTGGCATGCTTCGCTTCAGAGGTAACTGGTGAAGAAAAGCATTAACTGGATTTTTTTAAAGAGGAATGCCGGCCTGTTTGGAAATGAACAGATGGACAGACTGGCTGATTCTACACAACTTGGTGGAATATTGATGCATGACAAAGCAGACTTTGGTAAGGTCTTATGGAAGCACGTGTGCCATTCTGTGGAGCAAATGGAACATCATAGTCTGGTGACAGTGATGTAGCAAGGAGTGATCAGGGAATCTGGCTGATACTAGACTTGACGCTTAGAGGAAAAGCAAGATGGGCGAATAATCAGACTGCTGTTCGTAACATTGGTACTGGAACTTTGCAATAGCTGTTGAAGATGGGGACAGAGTACTTATGCATTTTTTAAATTCTTAAATCAACTCAGCTCAACTACATTAACACATCAACAACTTCTTCCATCGCACCCATTTATTAAATTAACTTATCTACTTCACCCAACTGTTACATTGTCTTTTCAAAATCACTGTTAAATGTTATGTTATGTAGTGAGGTGACTATATTCTTCCACAACTATCTGTTTTCTGTTTTCTAGACCAGTTTAACAGCTCACTATCATCTATATTACTAGCCAAACACATTGAGCACTTTCTGACCCCCATGACCAAACTCTAATACTCTGGATATTCTCAGGTGTCATCATTTCTTCCTTTAGTCCCATTTATTCATGTAGCAGGTCATTTGCAGAATGCCCCTGTGAACACAGCCCAGAGAACAGATTTTCATCTTTTCATGTATTTTTATGCACAATAAGCCTTTAATATCTTGTGTCAACCTTCATTTTAATCAGCCCTGCCTTTTTATCCAGGAATAATAACTCTGATTATTGTTCTGTAAAACATGATAGATTTATAAACCAGTTTTCGTCAATGTTCAAATCTGGTATAACATACTTTTCTTCTTCTTTATGTAAAGTACTATAAAAAATATGTCAGTTACATTTAATTATTTGTTCAATAGTCCAGATTCTATTATGTACATATTTCTGAATGGTGCAGAATGGATACCTGTGCCTCAGGCGTTTATTTGTACATTTTCCTGTTTGTCACACTCAACAGGCGATGTAGAGAAGAGAATCCTATTGCTGTTAATGCAGAGGTCAACGATCTCATCGGTGAAAATTCAGACGAAGCAGATGCACTAATCTATACAGACGGATCCGTTATATGCCAAAGAAGAAGCGCATGGGCATTTACAGCACGCTCAGCAGGCAGAACAGTCAAAGAAGCCAACTGCGCTTTCTCCATGACAACCAGCAGCATGACGATGGAGGTGATGGCAGTGAAGCAAGCGTTTGCTTGGCTTGAAACACAAAAATACACCTGCATATGTATACTCAGTGATTCAATGAGTATGATCCGGAGGGTTCAGGCAGGTTCAGTGCGAAGAAAATGGCTTGAATCAATTCAGAAGTCCACTGTGCGAGGAGTCACCTTTATTTTTGTTCCGGGACACGCAGGCGTCGATGGAAATGAAAGAGCTGACAGGTTGGCTGGATCCGCTATCACTACCGACGGTCGGCCTATGGATCATGCTGATATTATCAATGCCCTCAGAGAAATGGGAAGGATAGAGGACTTTGGTGGCAGTGAATCCACATCACTCGCCAGAATGGCAGACTTGGGAATTAAGATCGGCACAGCAAAAAAAGAGACGCACACCGGACACGTCAGAAGACTTGTTAATCAACACAGAACTGGTACTATTAGCCATCGGACGTTGGGGTTCATATTGAGGGGAGGATCTGAGCACCTATGGACATGTCCGGAGTGCAATTGTAGCACTGCTCTCTTCTTCGTTGCATATGTTCTTGTCACACCCAGGTTCGTCTTTAGGTTTGCTACAGGAGGAGTCGATTGGAAGATTATAGACGAGGAGAAAGATGGTCGTGTCGATAGTGGTTATGATGATGATGCTGTCTTCCTATCTGCATGCTTCTCACGTGACTCTGATGCTTGTATAACAAAATGTCTGGAAACAACTGTTCTCGTCTGTACTGTCTTTATTGTGTTACTTCAGCAATGTTACAAAATAACAGCAATGATATTCTAAATAGTGCTGTGTTCTCTCTATGGCTAAATACTCGTAGGTTCGCGTTGTGTTCTCTAGTTGCTTTGTTAACGGGTTCTAGTGTCTCCACTGCCACCTGGCTTCTAGTGCTGTTTGGTACTAACGGCTTGATCGTCGACTCTAACATCTCTATAGTGTTCCTAATATGTCTCTGTTGACCATGGATCCATGTATCTTGTGTGTCGTCTCTGTAGCTCGATGTCTCGTGTCATGTCTGCTCTCCAGTGACTGTCTTTGAGGTTCAATATGTGACTGGTTCCACTGCTTCCAGTGTTGAGCTGGCATCGATGATCATTGAGACTAGTCGCTCGTCCTCTGAGTCTCAAAGACTGAAGGTTTCTAGTGATGGGCTAACATCTCTACCACTGAAGGCTGTCTTGGGAGCCCATGTGACTGGCCTCTCCTCTCTCTCGAGTCTTGTGGACTGAAGAATTCTTAAAGTGCCTTGTTGCTCGCTATTTATACTTGGATGCTGGAATGCTAGGTATTTGTTTTCTTCTCGCTTTGTCCGATTCTAGAACATTCTAGTACGCCTCATCTTGTTTACTAGGTACGTTCTCACATGGGATTTGCTAATTATATCTCGATTGCATCAGATTTCATCATTCTATTCTACGCAGATATAGTAGTTAAACTGACAATTGAGGTCATAGAAGTTTCTAAAAAACAAGGACAATTGCGTTTGCTTTGATAGGGCACGACAACAAGGTATTCACTAGTACGACAAGGTTGGGTCACATGATGAAAAGAATGCATTTCAAAACTTCTAGAAAGAAGGCCAAGGCCAGACAACATCAGTTTGATGTCAATAGCTTGTTTTCGCGAGAAAAGAAGATTCTGGAAAAGGGAATGTCAAGGCTGCCAAAACTTGTTGATTTTCAGTACACCATAACCCTACATAATAACCCGCTTCCTACAAACAAGTAATGGCTTAACTCTGTTACACAATGATGATAACCCAACTAACTAACTAACTAACTAACTAACTAACTAACTAACTAACTAACTAACTAACTAACTAACTAACTAACTAACTAACTAACTAACATATTTCTATTTGCATTTCTATGCAACTGCTGTGGGTTATTTTAAAGCTTAATGATTGGTTTACCAGGAATCTCAAAGGCTAACATGTGCAACAAATTCCAGCAGAAGCCAGATGTGTCAGCTTAAGAGCGCAAATTTTCCCACCATAGTGCAAATGGGTGCAAAGCATTAACATCGGTGGATGAAAAACAAAGAAGAAGACAAAGAAAAATAAGAAGAAGGAAGAGGAGGAGTAGCAGAAGAAAAAGAAAAAGAAGACTGGTTTCACCCATTTTATACTTTAAATAAGGAAAAGATATTATTTCATGGTGACTGAATAAGTCACACTTGCTAAAGTAATCTATTTATCTGAGACCATAATCTTACTTGAGCATCCAGAGCTTTCTTGTAGGCTTCCGTAGATTCCAGTTTTTGCTTTAAGTGAAGTTCTCTTTGAGCTGCCAAGCTGTGCCAGAAATGCGCCACAAAATAAAACATAAAAGACCATGAAACAGACACAATGTATCGGAAGAAACTATTCGCATTTCAGTTGAATTTTTTCAGTTTTGTGCTTTATTTTATGTTGATGTAAGTCTGTAGTAATGCACCTGATGAGATGCAGAGAAATATGCCTGGCAATAAATTGTGCAATGTATTGTTTGTGTCCACATTATATAAAAGGAGTAGTTAAAAGAAGACACAAACAAACAAAACTGGACAAGGTGAAAGAAGAGCAGTGGATTGGGCTGGTGTTCTCAAGAACAATTAAGTGATGCAGGAGATGACGATGAGTCAGCAACATTCAAAAGACGTCTGGAACTCCAGGTCAAAAGAGTTATTGCCAGACAGGAAACACTATACATCAGCCAAAGAAGAATAGTGAATTCTGAATTCAACATTCAACAGAAGAAAAGTAAACCAACACAAAACTGGAGTTGTCAGTTGTCTCATGCTGAGGGGCAAACTGAATATGGGATACAAACATTTATGGACTTGTCCGATGTGCAATGGGGATAATCTGTAGATTAACTGACTATTATTCAAGGGATACAGTTGTTGACGGAGCAATCTGAGTACATGCGGACATGATAACCCAGTTCATAACTCAAACATTTACACATTAAGTTATGCATGCACACTCATACAATATATATATGTATATACAAGTATTTCATGCATTCTTCAAACTTGTGTTTTTGTAAATAGCAAATGTTTGCTTACTCTTCTGCTAGCTGTACTTGTTCTAGCCTCTCCAAAAATTCATCGTCTGATTTTCTTTTCTGTTTTGCTTTCTCGTTAAAGTTCACCTTAAGGACACACAAAAAATGACATACACTTCTTTGTCTGAACCCCATTGTCAGCCAATCATTAGGTCAAGTTACAGTCATCAAACAGTCAGCAGGTTGGTCATTTAACTGAAAACATAAAGATATTGTTGCTGGTACTACTGAGAATCCTGAAACTTCCTGCAGTTGACTCTTATTTAAAACAGTAAAGTTGGAAACTAGTGATAACTTAGTTCTATTTCAGTAGGTAAGTAACACATTAAATATGAGTAACACTGTGACCCAGAAGGTAAGTAACATTAAATATGACTAAACTTGTGAGCCAGAAGGTAAGTAATCACACTAAATATAAGTAAACTTGTGACCCAGAAGTTAAGTAAACACACTAAATATGAGTAAACTTGTGACCCAGAAGTTAAGTAAACACACTAAATATGAGTAAACTTGTGACCCAGAAGTTACGTAAACACTAATTATGAGTAAACTTGTGACCCAGAAGTTAAGTAAACACACTAAATATGAGTAAACTTGTGACCCAGAAGTTAAGTAAACACACTAAATATGAGTAAACTTGTGACCCAGAAGTTAAGTAAACACACTAAATATGAGTAAACTTGTGACCCAGAAGTTAAGTAAACACACTAAATATGAGTAAACTTGTGACCCAGAAGTTAAGTAAACACACTAAATATGAGTAAACTTGTGACCCAGAAGTTAAGTAAACACACTAAATATGAGTAAACTTGTGACCCAGAAGTTAAGTAAACACACTAAATATGAGTAAACTTGTGACCCAGAAGTTAAGTAAACACACTAAATATGAGTAAACTTGTGACCCAGAAGTTAAGTAAACACACTAAATATGAGTAAACTTGTGACCCAGAAGTTAAGTAAACACACTAAATATGAGTAAACTTGTGACCCAGAAGTTAAGTAAACACACTAAATATGAGTAAACTTGTGACCCAGAAGTTAAGTAAACACACTAAATATGAGTAAACTTGTGACCCAGAAGTTAAGTAAACACACTAAATATGAGTAAACTTGTGACCCAGAAGTTAAGTAAACACACTAAATATAAGTAAAGTCCATGCCCTGTGGCATTGGTAGTCATGTCCTAATCCACAACCTTCTGTCTCGTGTACTTTTAATCAACTCTGAAACAGATGATCTTCCATGCCATGATGTCAAACTGTCCAGCATCTGTTCTCTCCGTCTCCCCCTGCCTCTTCTCTCCTCCACTTTTCCTACTGTCACAAAGTACTCCAGTCTTCTCCTTTCCATGACATAACCAGAGAATTTAGTTTGTCTCTTTCTGATGTGGGCAATCAGTTCTCTTTGTGAGTCAGTTTCTTTCAAGACATCTTCATACTCTTTTTATCTATCCAGGGTATTCTCATCATTCGTCTATAAAACCACATCTCCACAGCTTCCAAATAAGTTTTTACTAATTGACTAACTGTCCATGATTCACATTTGTATTTCAATATAGGATTTGTACAGCTTTTCTTTCTCATCTCAACTGACAAAGAAAGATTGCATAAAATATTCTTTATTTTGTAAATGCTGGCTTTGCTTGAGTTTTTCGACATTTAACTTCCTTAATACAATTTCCATCTGATGTTCTCAGGGTACCCAAGCACTTAAAAATATCAACTTGCTTGAAGTTTGTCCCATTTACTCTGATGTTGCCTTCTGGAGGGTCAGTTTTTCTTTGCAAATACCATTACTTATGTGTTTCTACTGTTCAAACTAAGACTCTCTTCCGGTAAAAATTATATCCATCATTTCTTGCAGTTGTGTTTTATTTTCAGTGAACGATGCTATATCGCAGGTTGTTAACAATATGCCCACCAACCGATATTCCTGGCATACCATGTATGGATCTAATTATTATTTAACTGTACAAATTGAATAAATCGGGTGAGAGTACACACCCCTGTCTAATGCAATGTTTAATGTTTTGAAAAGTTCCAACTTGGTTGTCAACATTTATGGCTGCTTCTTGTCACCAATATAAATGTATTCTATTATACTCAGATCTTTACCATCAATGTTTAGGGTTTTAAAATCTCTAATAATTTCTTCATGTTTCACTTTATCAAATGCTTTAGTGTAATCAATAAAGCACAAATACAGATCTCTATTCATGTCAATCATTCTTTCTGAAAGTGTTCTCAAGATAAATATAGTGTTGTTTGTGCCTTTACCTTCAACAAAACCACACTGCTCTTCTTCAATTTCTGGTTTAATTTGGCACCATATTCTTCTCATGATAATTCTCATTAATATTTTAGATACATGATTCATTAAACTAATTGTTTGATATTCTCCACATGAGACCTTAACCTACCACTGGATTGCTGGGAAGAACATGGTCCACCTCATGAAGCTGAGGTAGGCTTGAGCAAGAGAGAAGTTCACCAGCCCAACAGTGGACCCAGGATATCAGGATGCAATTCTGGTGACAAACTGCTGGTTGCCATGCACATTTACTGCATGCGAATGTTTCTAAAAATTGTTGGGACTTGACAGTCGGTTTACTTGATATCAAACAGGATAGTGAAAAACATTTTGTGTGATTTTCACTGGCACAGGAAGGAAGCAATTATGATGTGACCCTGTTGACAATGAAGCTGAAACTTTGACTACCAACTGGGAATGGATGTTCACAACACAGGAAGGAAGCAATTATGAGGTAACCTGTTGACAATGAAGCTGAAACTTTGACTACCACCTGGAGATGGATGTTCACAACACAGGAAGGAAGCAATTATGAGGTAACCTGTTGACAATTAAGCTGAAACTTTGACTACCACCTGGAGATGGATGTTCACAACACAGGAAGGAAGCAATTATGAGGTAACCTGTTGACAATGAAGCTGAAACTTTGACTACCACCTGGAGATGGATGTTCACAACACAGGAAGGAAGCAATTATGAGGTAATCTGTTGACAATGAAGCTGAAACTTTGACTACCAACTGGGAATGGATGTTCACAACACAGGAAGGAAGCAATTATGAGGTAACCTGTTGACAATGAAGCTGAAACTTTGACTACCACCTGGAGATGGATGTTCACAACACAGGAAGGAAGCAATTATGAGGTAATCTGTTGACAATGAAGCTGAAACTTTGACTACCACCTGGAGATGGATGTTCACAACACAGGAAGGAAGCAATTATGAGGTAACCTGTTGACAATGAAGCTGAAACTTTGACTACCACCTGGAGATGGATGTTCACAACACAGGAAGGAAGCAATTATGAGGTAACCTGTTGACAATGAAGCTGAAACTGTGACTACCACCTGGAGATGGATGTTCACAACCATTCAAGAGCGAGTGAGAAATGACATTGCCAAACAGATTGTGGAAACAACGCCTTTCAACAAATTCACTGAGCAGCAAAAGATCTGGTTATCTCATTAGTATGCAGCCACAACAACTACCAACACAGGCTTTACACCTACAGAAATGTGACTTGAAAACAAGAGGGTGCTCAAGGAGAACAGAAACTGATGACATTAACTCTTTGAGTCTCAGGGGGTGTAGCATCACAGGCCTGGGGGGGGGGGGGGGGGGGGGGGAATGATGAACAAGAACAAAAAAATATATTTTGTACAAAATGATGAGAAGTGCACGTATTACAGTCACACAGTCCAGCACCTTTTCTCTTGGTCTTGCTCTGCCTCTCCAACTTGCCTGCAATCGTGATTTGCTCAAATTTTCTCCTTCTCATGATTTAGAAAGAAAAAAAAACGTTTTTTCCCCCCATCTTTTTTACCCTATCTTGTTAGCTGTAAGATTTTGTAGGGAATTCCTAGGTAGTTCCCTAGAAGGTACTATTGTAGGGGGAGGGGTGGGGTGGGGGAGGGGGGGGAAGAGGGTTAGTGTTAGTCGCTGTTAATTTAACAGTAATCTTACGTCACTACAACTGCTATGTTCTAGGCATGTCACATGTTGGTTGTTTTCAGCATGTTCATTGTTTACTGCATCATCATTTCCAGTGTGTGTTATTTCCATTTGTTTGTCGCCATCACTTTTGCAAGCTGTGTTCTTACTTTGTGACTTTGCCTTCGTCATGAATTTCCTTGACGTATCAGAATTGCTGCATTGAATCCTAGCACTAAGCCTAAACGATGAATTTGCACATACAAAAACTGATGCTCCTTTTCAGGGGCCTTTCCTCATCAACATTCCAAGATGGTCCTTTTCAGAGTCAATCCCAAAATATCCCAAATTCACACCACACTGCCTAAGTTCTGCTCGAAAATAACACTGGTTCAAGCCGAACTGTACGCGTCAGTAAGTGAATTACAGAATACAGTGAAGTTTATACTAGAGACGACACTGCAGATATTAAAAAAGCTATTTAGAATGAAGGAAAGAAGAAGACGAGGAAACAAACCTCAGCCCCCCCCCATACTGCAGGACCTTCCGGTAAACTATAGTGTTAATCTACTGACAGTAAACATGAAAGGGAATAATTGACCTGCCTACCTACCATTTAAAGAAATGACAAAAATGGAGTGTCATTTCTCAAATATCTTCACTAACAATTTAGTTCCATTTATAAAAACTATAATCACAGAACATAAAATCTTCTACAAAACACTGCACAAATACCTGTGGCTCTGTATCTTTTATTTTTTTCTGGGTGTGAACAGCTTCGGCTACACCAAGATTAAATGCTGCAATCTTCTGAAGATCACGCCGCCGTGCCCAATGCTGCTCCTAGCAGATGACAAACATAGACACATTCTGCATTATCTAACAGGTAATTTAATACATACAGATAAAACAGTGTCAAGATACAGAAACATAACTAGTATTTTAAAATGGACAGTAGAATACACTGAGAATTTTATGAAAATGTAAAGTAGCCTCAGTCACGAAATTAATTGAATACGTTGAGGCTCTAACATTTGTCACATGAAGCAATTTAGCAATTCCCTGAGCTATGCTAACAAGAAAAACACATCATTTCATGTGACATCTGAGTAGGTACACAGGAAAACAAAGGAAGAAAAAGCCAAAGTAATATAATTTCTATAACTAATTAGAAATGATCTTTGTATGCTGCAGAAATGTTTTCCAGTTAATTTGACTATTTCATTTGTGAATGTACATCAAGGCTTCACAGAAACTATACTAATTCTCAGAATAGCACACTGTACAAACATCCCTGATTCATTTTTTGAATCTACCTGGTCTTTCAATGTTTCTTCTGCATCTTTCATGATCTGATATTGTTGTAAAAGCCTGCCCTCCTCTTCATCTCTTTTCTTCAACTCCTTGGCAAAGGAAACTGGTACATTTCTTTTGGCACGCTGGTGACACAGATAACAGAGCTCCTGGCCAGCAATGGGATGTCCACAAGCTGATCTTGGAGGAGTTGGAGTTCTGTAGGCTATTTTTAGGTCATTCAGTCGACTATCAAAACTTCTGGAACGTTGCATGGGAAAAAATGTTGGTGCCACTGGATGCTGCAGGCTAGGAGAAAATATGAAAATCATTTATAACAAATAATGAGTCAAAGATTTTGAAACATATAGCATTGTACTTTTCAAGTTAACTAAACTGTACAATAATGTCAAATGCATCACCTTAAGATTGACAAAACAAATACTTTACAGAATTTATATTGCTGGTGCAAGAAATAAACAATTCCCCCCCCCCACCACCACAACCCTCTTTCTTCTTCCCACAAAATATATCTATATATAATTCTACATTAGAAATGTTGAAAACAAACAACTGTAATAAATATGAACATCATGCATTAACTGGTCCGCAAAAATAATAGCACAAAACTTGGTACTCCTGTCAAATCCGGACGAAGAATAAAAAGCCTTGGACGACTAAGTCAGAGTTCTCTCCCTTAGCCGCACTGCAAACAGTGATCGGAAAAGCCAGCGAAACAAACGACACAAGCAACATGGCAGTTAGATGCACTCACATAACTAACACCGTTCTTCCGACGCACGACTTAGTTGCCGGGAACGACTATCGTGACTGACGCTTGGCGAGGCTACAGCAACGTGGCAAACTTACGGCATGGCATCTATCTGCACGAGGTAGTAGTCCACCAGACAACTTCGTCGACGCCGTACAGTCACATACACACACAAACAATTGAGGGCCTCTGGATGCTGGTCAAACGCACAATTCGCCAACGATTGGGCACCAGCCGCACACTATTGGCGTCATTTTTAGCAGAATTTCAGTGGCGCCACGCCCACAAACATCAGATTGTCGGCCAGTATTTCGAAACCCTACGTCAAAATTTTCACATCTAACCCTAACCCTAACCCTACCCCTAACCCTAACCCTACCCCTAACCCTACCCCTAACCCTACCCCTAACCCTCCCCTAACCCTACCCCTAACCCTACCCCTAACCCTAACCCTACCCCTAACCCTAACCCTACCCCTAACTCTAACCCTACCCCTAACCCTACCCCTAACCCTACCCCTAACCCTAACCCTACCCCTAACTCTAACCCAACAACCGCATGATGACCACGCATCCCTTTACGATGCCTCACGCAACCGTACGCAGCCCTACATGCAACCGTATGATGATAGGTAAGTGTGTCGTTTGTTTCGTTGGCTTTTCCGATCACTGTTCGCAGTGCGGCCAAGGGAGAGAACTCTGACTAAGTCGTCCAAGGCTTTTTATTCTTCGTCCGGATTTGACAGGAGAGCCCAAAACTTAATACTATATGTATTCATGAATATCTTCTTAAGGCACCCAGATGAAGCCGTTCTCAGATGACAGGAAATCATTCAGATTCGTTTCTTGCTTTTTACACACTACTAGAATGATAAATATACATTGTTCTTTCTTATACTATGGTTAAAAAATGGTGACTTTCACTCTGTGGTGCCTGTGATACACTGTTCTCTTGCACTGGCCTCTTCCAAACCATTGAGATAATCACTCTGTGATGCCTGTGATACACTGTTCTCTTGCACTGGCCTCTTTCAAACCACTGAGATAATCACTCTGTGATGCCTGTGATACACTGTTCTCTTGCACTGGCCTCTCTCAAAGCACTGAGATAATCACTCTGTGATGCCTGTGATACACTGTTCTCTTGCACTGGCCTCTCTTAAACCACTGAGATAATCACTCTGTGAAGCCTGTGATACACTGTTCTCTTGCACTGGCCTCTCTCAAACCACTGAGATAATCACTCTGTGAAGCCTGTGATACACTGTTCTCTTGCACTGACCACTTTCAAACCATTGAGATAATCACTCTGTGAAGCCTGTGATACACTGTTCTCTTGCTCTGGCCACTTTCAAACCATTGAGATAATCACTTTGTGAAGCCTGTGATACACTGTTCTCTTGCACTGGCCACTTTCAAACCACTGAGATAATCACTCTGTGAAGCCTGTGATACACTGTTCTCTTGCACTGACCTCTTTTAAACCATTGAGATAATCACTCTGTGAAGCCTGTGATACACTGTTCTCTTGCACTGGCCACTTTCAAACCACTGAGATAATCACTCTGTGATGCCTGTGATACACTGTTCTCTTGCACTGGCCTCTCCCAAACCATTGAGATAATCACTCTGTGGTGCCTGTGATACACTGTTCTCTTGCACTGACCTCTCTTAAACCACTGAGATAAGCACTCTGTGGTGCCTGTGATACACTGTTCTCTTGCACTGACCTCTCTTAAGCCACTGAGATAATCACTCTGTGGTGCCTGTGATACACTGTTCTCTTGCACTGACCTCTCTTAAACCACTGAGATAATCACTCTGTGATGCCTGTGATACACTGTTCTCTTGCACTGGCCTCTTCCAAACCATTGAGATAATCACTCTGATGCCTGTGATACACTGTTCTCTTGCACTGACCTCTCTCAAACCACTGAGATAATCACTCTGTGGTGTCTGTGATACACTGTTCTCTTGCACTGGCCACTTTCAAACCACTGAGATAATCACTCTGTGATGCCTGTGATACACTGTTCTCTTGCACTGGCCTCTTTCAAACCATTGAGATAATCACTCTGTGATGTCTGTGATACACTGTTCTCTTGCACTGGTCTCTCTCAAACCACTGAGATAATCACTCTGTGATGCCTGTGATACACTGTTCTCTGTGACCACAAACCACTGAGATAATTCTCTTGCACTGTTCTCTTGCACTGACCTCTCTCAAACCATTGAGATAATCACTCTGTGGTGCCTGTGATACACTGTTCTCTTGCACTGACCACTTTCAAACCACTGAGATAATCACTCTGTGATGCCTTTGATACACTGTTCTCTTGCACTGGCCTCTTTCAAACCATTGAGACAACTTATTTTTGTTGCCTGATAATTTTAAGTATTTTTTTTTTTTACAAAATCCTGTCTCTGGGGCCTTGAGGATTTTTTTTGCAATAGTAACTGTAAAAGCTTTAAGAAATAAATAAAATAATTCCCCAAATATAATTCAGGCCTACCCTGTATGCTCTTCTTCATTTCTTGATTTCCTGACAGGCTGGGCTGAGAGGCAAGGTTTGTGTGAAGTAGGTGGTTTCACTATTTCATCAGACAGGCTGATAACATCTGCCTTAGAAACTGGAAGAGTCAGCTGTGACACTGTCCTGCTTCTGCAACCTCTATCCTCTGTAGGCAGAAACATTGATTCTCCAGTCATAAAAGCAAGCAGAAACATTGATTCTCCAGTCATAAAAGCAAGCAGAAACATTGATTCTCCAGTCATAAAAGCAAGCAGAAACACTGATTCTCCAGTCATAAAAGCAAGCAGAAACAAAGAACACTGGCTACCAAATTAAATAAATGTGTGGCAAAATGAAACTACAAGGATAAAACATTAATTATGATGTACACAATTTTCTGCTAAAAATTAAATACCAGTATACCGTAAATTGACAATCATTTATTTAATTAATATACTGACTGAATTGTTCAAGGAACTATAAACTATCCGTGTGTGTGAGACTCTTCTGGAACATTTGAGAATGACAAAATAACAATCGTCAACGCCTCAGGTGCCAACCCTCTGGCCCCAAGAAAACCATATCTAGTTACTTACAGTTGTGACAGTCCCATTATTGCTAATGAATCAGCCTGTCTGCAGTGACCTGTTCTTCAGAAGCGCAGTAAAATTTCATTGGCTCTATGTGCACCTGCAATCCTGGGAAGTAAAGGAGGCTGGTGTGATGCTGACCATATCACCCACCAAATGCTGATTGGTCTTTAAAATATAGGTCTAGCCCTATATGCCCAATATGCCTAAAGGTGTGGAAAAGGGTCCTTTACTTTGGTTGTTGGTTTTTGTTTGTACAAACTTTACTATGTGCACCTTCACAGTGTTAGGGAGACTCGGATATGAATGTATTAACTCAAAAAGAAAAGCCAGGTTGATGTGAAACTGTACCATAAAGCCTCAGTGATAGAGGTCATGAGTCATGGCATGTGTCACCTGATACTTACTTGTTTTAGGCCCTAGGGTTGGTATTCCATTTAATGCTTCCCTCTGTTCATGTTTACTGATGACACCCTTTACATATCTTTATGTATGGGGGGGGGGGGGGGGGGGGGGAATTAGACCAAATTTGGGCCAAAATGATTTTTCTATAATATACTACCGACAAAACAAAACAAAAACAAAAAACAACGACAAAAACTGGTTTCACTGATTTATTAGTAACCTTGTAAACTTTTCCTTAAGGATTTTTGGATACTTCCCATGTGTTCATGACCCATTTTCTTCAGCATTTGTGAGGCCAATGGGTTCAGCAAAAACCTTATCTGCACTTATTGAGTCATACAGCTAATAGCCATGTGAGTTCAGAATGGTGCTTTGAGACACCTTATATTGATGGTATTTTTTAAAGAGTTTTCCATGAGCTGTTGTTGCTGTTATTGTTACAAATGAAAGCCTGGTAACAGCAATATATTTATTTTGTGAATGTGTTTTTGTAGAGCTGACATTCTCCGTATTCTTCCTATTCTGTCCAAATGGTGGTGATAAAGTAAAAGGACCCTTTTCCATGCCTTCGGGTGTATTAAGGGCTATCTTCTGAATAACGGTCCCACATTATTGAGGCCAAAAATATACCCTAACAGGGCTTCAGTCACAGGTAAATTGCAGACTTCATTCCGGCGACTATACTGCCACCGTCAAGAGTATCTCCCGCCGCGCTACGCGCAGCGCGGAGTAGGGCTAAACTATATGGCTGAGACACAGGAAAAAAAAAAGGAGGAAACTGCAGGAGATGTGGTAGCTGCTGCTCATGAGTCCTAGCCATCTAGTTTAGCCCCGCTCCACACCGCACGTAGCGGCGCGGGAGATACTCTCGGCGGTGACTTTAACTCGACGGAAGCTTTTCCGCGGTATGCTGTGTAGTCCCTGGACTGAGGCCCTGTTAGGATATATTTTCAGCCTCAATAATTTGGGACCGTTATTCTGAGGATAGTCGTATTGGGCACACAGAGCTAGACGTATATTTTAAAACCAGTCAGCACTTAGTGAGTGATGTGGTCAGCTTCATGCCAGCTGCCTTGACTTCCCACGACTTTTACTGTTACCCACTCAAGACTGGGTCGACCTGGCAGCCAAGGTCATATTGAAAAAGTCTAGTTCCGTCAGGATCTAAACCCACAACCTTCCCATTTACAGGTGAGGATCTAGCCACTACACTATGGTGGCCCTCAATGTTGGTGATAACGGTAGCATTATGGTTAGTGAGCAGTTTACTCACAGAACCATCTATAGTTCAGCTGACAGTGGCAGCAGATTTGTGTCTGTCAAGTACGACTGCCACGGCTTAGTTCTATCATATTTTAGCCATGGGATCCCCATTATACCTCAGTGTAATGTAATGTCAAACTGGTACTTACGTTGTGTGACAGCCGTCTGCTTATTGGGTCTAGGCTCAGTCACTGAATGGATGTTGGCAAAGGCATCCCCTTCTTGTAATATATTCTCTATGGCTTGTTCGGTGGCTGGGTCAATGTCTGTGCCTTCAGCATTCCTAGGTGTAAATGTATGGTCATCCGGTATAACGGCTGCATCTGCACCAAACGATGGGGATTCCAAATCTGGATGAAAATAAAGTGAATCTCTGCAACTATCAGGAAGCTGCTCTGTGCATTCTGCTGGCTTTTCCTCTTGTACTGGTGTCAGATTTCTAAAATTGGGAGTAATTCCTCCATCTTGACTGGAATGTATTCTGAATGAAAAGAACAAATAAGACTGAATAATGCTAGCTAAGCAGAATGATGTGCCAGTAACCCTTGTTGGGCTAAAAACAACTGTTCCAAGCCATGCAGATTAACCTACACTGGTCGTATAAAAAAAACCCAGCTGGGAGTAGCAAAACACATCCCAAAATGGCTGCACACAGTTGAGTAGAAACCCTGAAGGTGAGTCAAGATCAACCAAACAAGAAAGCTAAATTCTTTCACAAGATGTCATCTGCTAGACTTTCCCCATGTGCGTTTTGGTAGGTGGGGGGGGGGGGGGGGGTGGGGGGGGGGGGGGGGGAGGGGTGGAGTGGAAGGGCAGACACATTTTTCCATTACAATTATATCATAAAAAGATATTAATTAAGGATTTGCTGAAATCAGATGTGATTGGTCCAAAAGATGCAGTGACTACAACCTAGCTGTAAACCCCAATGTAACATGCTACACTCAGCACATGTTCGATAGGGATTGTGAGGTCCACTGAATAGCTGGCAATTAAAAACTGGTGGAAGCAGTGGCAACTTGGATGGGCACTTCTGAGTTGTGCAAACAAAAGGACCACATGGTTATTCTTAGACTTCCATGGTAAACATGTGGTTAGTCTTAGACTTCTGTTGATGAGGTGTACAGCGTAACAGAAGACAATGTGATCTGTCCATTTCAGTTTGTATCTTCATTATTTAAAATAGTGATAAACAAAATATAACACAAAAGACTGACATTTAAACCTATAATATTGGTTAGAATTTATAATCCTATATTCTGCTGCAGACAGTTATCTTCTGTGCTGACATTATTAATGAAAGGTGTTTAAAGGCAAGATGACATTACTAATGAAAGGTGTTTAAAGGCAGGTGACATTACTAATGAAAGGTGTTTAAAGACAAGTTGACATTACTTATGAAAGGTGTTTAAAGACAAGATGACATTACTAATAAAAGGTGTTTAAAGGCAAGATGACATTACTAATGAAAGTTGTTTAAAGACAAGATCATTACCAATGAAAGGTGTTTAAAGACAAGATGACATTACTATTGAAAGGCAAGATCTATTTTAATAATAATTTTATCACATATGACTTGGTCTCCGCAAGTCACATCTACCCGTGACTGTTTAGGCATGCATAACTGAATAATAAAAACTTAGTTGTACACAGTTCAATATTGTATCGCCAAAAAGTGTCAGCTCTCTACTCACGTTGGCAGAACAATTGTGCTACTCGAGTGAGGTCTGGAAGATGGCCGCTCAGAAATGACAGAGTCAGCAGTTCCGGCACGCTGAAACAATGTTAGCAATCTATTTATGAGATTGATTGGGGTTTCTTGTTGCATGCTGACTGGGCAACACTTAAATTTTACCAGACCATAGATGTTACTTGTCTGGATGATATATTTTGCTTCATGAATGTGGATTTTGTCTTGGCCATAATAAAACTAATCTCATTATTTAATTTTCACTTGGTTTGTGTTTAGTCATATTTAGAATATTAGGAATGCCCCTGTTACAAAAATACTAATATATATAGAAACACATTTCACAGAACTGAATATTTCAGTTTAAAAATTAGCATATGGTAACAGAAGGAGAAAGCAATCTAATAGGAATGCATGAAAGGTAACAACAATAACAATTATGAATCCAACCTGTGTTAAAATTAACACAACTTGGTTTGAAAAGAGCGTGGGGAAAGAAAGACACACACACCCAGTCAACATTTAAAATTGTATATGCTGAGTCAGGATACATTTGATAGTGACTAAGTAGGAGATAAACAAAAAATCTCATTTTCATGCATTGTTGGGTACTGTATAAATATACTTTAAATTGCCTTTACTGCCTAGGATATTTCCTGGAAGATGCTTCTTTAATTGTTACGGGTTTTAAGTTGAAATTAAAACAGCGTGAATTTGAAAAAAAAAAATATAGACTCCTAGGTCGACCCTGCATAAAATGTGTACCAGATAATGTTTTTGGAAGTAAATACAGCCAATGTAATGTTGACCACATAACCCATTGAGTGCTGATTGATCTTTGTGAATATGAGACTAGCATTATGTGCCTGATGTGCAACTGACATAAAAAGAATTCTTTGCTTTTTACTGGTCTTTTTTTTTTTCTTAACCCTACCAGACCTGAGGCCCTGAACCTAACTGTCCCTATAACCTGAGCTCCTGGGCATCAACACTCAAAAACCAACATGATATACACAAATATTAGTTACATGGAAACAAGTGGCTAGAATAAGATAAAACTTGGAGACATTGTAGAAAATATGTTCAACTTTCATCTAGCGCCAATCTTCCACCTTTGTGTGCCAATCCACCTTGTAGGATTAGTCTTGTTTCACAAAGTGAACACTTGATGTTGCTGTTTGAGGGACACGCCCCCTTCTGTTACTATCGATCTAGTTTTAAATCTATAATTTTCATAATTCTCCTCCTCACTCTAGCTCTCACTGACTGTGTCACTTCAACTGGGAACTTATTCTCCATGAACGAATTCACAGTCTGAATTAACCAAACTATCGATCACCTGTTGGACTGTGAAAGGCCTAGATCTACGTCACTTTCTTGTCGAAGCCGCTCATTTCATTGAGAATTTTCCGAATTTTTTTTTACATCAAACCACACAAAGAAATCTCAACACACGTGGAAAGTCATTCGCAATGACTAACAACGAAGTTTGATGGCGATTGGCTGTTTTTTTTAAAAGTCTTTGACACATATTTTTCACGTACTACGTCAATTCCCAGAAAAGTGGACCAGCGGTATAGCGGCAGATTAGGAAATTCCCGGAAAATCGGGCCAGCAGTCTGGTAGGGTTAAATCAAACAATTAATATTTCCTTGTTCCCAATTTAGCCTGGCACAACTTCGAAACCCAGATTAATTTTTTTAAAATCAGACTTTGTTGGGGTTTATGCCTTTAATCGCACGGTCATCAGACAAGTGTGCTAGCTACTGCACTATAATGTTTTCTTATAACTTGCAAAGCTGATATGAAAATGAGGTTATAGTAAAAAAAGCGAGCACATTTAAGTCAGTTCCATGATAATCTCCCCACAGACCGCCCATATATACACTAGCTCACTACTGATTTGTCGACCTGCAGTCACCTGACCTTCGCACACTGCAATTGGGGTGTTCAGCAATGCCGTTGATATCGCATGTTGTATATTTAAGCACGCCAGTGCTTTAAACCCTACAAAAACATTTAGAAACTGGGTCTAATACACAACCCCCCTGAATTTTCCTACTGTGATATCTGAATTATCATCATCATCATCACGTGCCCTGCCAATGGGCGTAGGTGCTTATGCATTTCCACAGATCATGATCCCTGGTTGCCTGGAACAGCTTTCTTGATGATATCCCTCCATGCCATCGTTTCAGCCCATCCAGCATCGTCTCTCTTGGTCTGTCTCTACTCCTTTTTCCACTGATCTTTAAAGTTGTCACGATGTTCTCCAATGCTCTTTTCTCATTATATGGTCAAAGAACAGTGTTTGTCTCCTTCTTATTGTTGTATACAAAGATCTACTTTCGTTAGCTTCTTTCTAATAATTGTTGTTAGTTACTCTAGCCGTCCAAGGTATTTGTAACATTTGTCTCAATAACCACATCTCTGTTGCTTCTAAAATTCTTCTTAATTTGTCTACTGACATTCAAAGATTACCTACCATACAGCAGAACAGGTTCTATGTAACATTTTTGCACTTTCTTTCTGACATTAAATGAGAGCGATTTATTTCATAAGATATTTTCAATTTTCTAAAATGAAGCTTTCGCTTGACCTATTCTGCTTTTAATCTCTGTCATATATTTTCCATCTGATCATATGATAGTTCCTAAATATTTGAATTTATTGACTTGGTTAAGTCTTTAACCTTCAACTGAGAAATCACAATGTGGAGTTATCTACTTCTTTGATATAACCATTACTTCTGTTTTCTTAATATTCAAGAAATGTCCATTTCTTACCACTTTCTATCCCCACAATATCCAGCAGTTGTTGTAAATCAGTTGCATTTTCAGCTATCAAAACTGTATCGTCTGCATAACGCAAATTGTTTATATATCCAAATTATGGTATTCTTAATCAACCATCGTATCAAGAAACCACATTTTTGGGGGCTTTCTTATTTTAGGGTTCATTTTCCAAAAGCATACAGTAATGCAGTCATAGCATCATTTTAAAACTAATTATAGTTCAGAAAAAAATACACATACATTCATAAGTGTTTCAACTACTTTTCCAGAGGAGTCCATTGCACTGACAAATTCTTTATAAAACTTCATCTTTATTCTTCCTTGACGGATCACAAGACGTCCAATACCAGCAAAGCAAAGCTCAACATTTCGTTTCGCAGCAACAGCCAAGGATGTAGCCCTTATAATTTCTTTCACACATCTTTCTACAGTGTCACGATCAAAGGGGCTTTCAAATGACACACAAGTAAAGTTGAGAGGTATTACTGGGATGGTTCCTGCAAAAGGAAAATACATCTTTGACTATTTAATTTTGCTAAACAAATAAACCAACCCATATATCACTCAGTCTCTACAGAGTTGTCTATCAATTGGGTAGTAGACTTAATAAATAGACAGACATGAAATCTCATCTCAGTTTCCAAATATTTTATACTCCCTCCGTAATTGGCTTGTTCCCATGGATAAAATTAAGGTTGGACACTTTTTAACAAACTTTGAACAACCACTGTATACAGAAGATATATCACCATTCTTCTTCTTCTACTTACTTTTTTTTATTATTATTAATTATTTTTTGGCCTAATTTTTACAAAGGTAGTCGGCATATTGTGGTATGATTTACAACTAGACTGTGATATCTGCCATTTTCAACCTGACACATCTGATTTCAGCATCCCTTAATTAGTCATCTTGTACAGTAGGATTGTTAGGGGTAATGGGTCTAATTTTTTTCCCTCTGAAAATACAAAAACAAAAGTGATTACAGAACCCATGTGGGAAATATCACAATTCAGTATATCTGAAATTAAAATTTGTATAACTGATACTTCTGTGGACAGTGTACAAGTTTAAAGAACAGCAGTAAAGGGTTACTTTGGACTTAACTCATTTGAATTATACAGGAATCTAATGATTGAGGCAGCCTTATAAATTGGCAACCAGAAATTTATGGGGAGGGCAGACATTGTGAACAGTTAAGTGGTCAGCCTACAATCCTAATATCATCACCAAAGACAATATTAATACTTGACACTCCAACTGCAGTCTTTACCATGAAATGATCTTTACCAGCGACATCTTGTATCTTAAAGACAGGTATAGTACATCGCTTAGATATGGTGCTGCCTCCAACTGTAATTATACACTGCTTAGATTTGGTGCTGCCTCCAACTGTAATAGTACACCGCTGAGATATGGTGCTGCCTCCAACTGTAATTATACACTGCTTAGATATGGTGCTGCCTCCAACTGTAATAGTACACCGCTTAGATATGGTGCTGCCTAAAACTGTAATAGTACATCGCTTAGATATGGTGCTGCCTCCAACTGTAATAGTACACTGCTGAGATATGGTGCTGCCTCCAACTGTAATAGTACATCGCTTAGATATGGTGCTGCCTCCAACTGTAATAGTACACTGCTTAGATATGGTGCTGCCTCCAACTGTAATAGTACATCGCTTAGATATGGTGCTGCCTCCAACTGTAATAGTACATCGCTTAGATATGGTGCTGCCTCCAACTGTAATAGTACATCGCTTAGATATGGTGCTGCCTCCAACTGTAATAGTACACCGCTTAGATATGGTGCTGCCTCCAACTGTAATAGTACATCGCTTAGACATGGTGCTGCCTCCAACTGTAATAGTACACTGCTGAGATATAGTGCTGCCTCCAACTGTAATAGTACACTGCTTAGATATGGTGCTGCCTCCAACTGTAATAGTACACTGCTGAGATATGGTGCTGCCTCCAACTGTAATAGTACATCGCTTAGATATGGTGCTGCCTCCAACTGTAATAGTACACTGCTTAGATATGGTGCTGCCTCCAACTGTAATAGTACACTGCTTAGATATGGTGCTGCCTCCAACTGTAATAGTACACTGCTTAGATATGGTGCTGCCTCCAACTGTAATAGTACACTGCTTAGATATGGTGCTGCCTCCAAACTGTAATAGTACACTGCTTAGATATGGTGCTGCCTCCAACTGTAATAGTACACTGTAATAGTGCTGCCTCCAACTGTAATAGTACACTGCTTAGATATGGTGCTGCCTACAACTGTAATAGTACATCGCTTAGATATGGTGCTGCCTCCAACTGTAATAGTACACTGCTTAGATATGGTGCTGCCCTATGGTGCTGCCTCCCTGTAATAGTACACCGCTTAATGGTGCTAATAGTAACACATGCTTAGATATGGTGCTGCCTCCAACTGTAATAGTACACTGCTTAGATATGGTGCTGCCTCCAACTGTAATAGTACACTGCTTAGATATGGTGCTGCCTCCAACTGTAATAGTACACTGCTTAGATATGGTGCTGTAATAGTACATCCTCCAACTGTAATAGTACACTGCTTAGATATGGTGCTGCCTCCAACTGTAATAGTACACTGCTTAGATATGGTGCTGCCTCCAACTGTAATAGTACACTGCTTAGATATATGGTGGTGCTGCCTCCAACTGTAATATAGTACATATGGTGCTGCTCCAACTGTAATAGTATATGGTGCTGCCTCCAACTGTAATAGTACACTGCTTAGATATGGTGCTGCCTCCAACTGTAACTGTACAACGCTTAGATATGGTGCTGCCTCCAACTGTAATAGTACTATTCGCTTAGATATGGTGCTGCCTAAAACTGTAATAGTACATCGCTTAGATATGGTGCTGCCTCCAACTGTAATAGTACATCGCTTAGATATGGTGCTGCCTCCAACTGTAATAGTACACTGCTTAGATATAGTGCTGCCTCCAACTGTAATAGTACACCGCTGAGATATGGTGCTGCCTCCAACTGTAATAGTACATCGCTTAGATATAGTGCTGCCTCCAACTGTAATAGTACACCGCTGAGATATGGTGCTGCCTCCAACTGTAATAGTACACTGCTTAGATATAGTGCTGCCTCCAACTGTAATAGTACACTGCTTAGATATGGTGCTGCCTCCAACTGTAATAGTACACCGCTGAGATATGGTGCTGCCTCCAACTGTAATAGTACACTGCTTGAGATATGGTGCTGCCTCCAACTGTAATAGTACACCGCTTAGATATGGTGCTGCCTCCAACTGTAATAGTACATCGCTGAGATATGGTGCTGCCTCCAACTGTAATAGTACATCGCTTAGATATGGTGCTGCCTCCAACTGTAATAGTACACTGCTTAGATATGGTGCTGCCTCCAACTGTAATAGTACACTGCTTAGATATGGTGCTGCCTCCAACTGTAATAGTACACTGCTTAGATATGGTGCTGCCTCCAACTGTACATAGTCCAACAGTACACTGCTTAGATATGGTGCTGCCTCCAACTGTAATAGTACACCGCTGAGATATGGTGCTGCCTCCAACTTGCCTCCAACTGTAATAGTACACTGCTTAGATACGTGGTGCTAATAGTAATACACTGCGCTTAGATATGGTGCTGCCTCCAACTGTAATAGTACACTGCTGAGATATGGTGCTGCCTCCAACTGTAATAGTACATCGCTTAGATATGGTGCTGCCTCCAACTGTAATAGTACATCGCTTAGATATGGTGCTGCCTCCAACTGTAATAGTACACTGCTGAGATATGGTGCTGCCTCCAACTGTAATAGTACACTGCTTAGATATGGTGCTGCCTCCAACTGTAATAGTACACCGCTGAGATATGGTGCTGCCTCCAACTGTAATAGTACAGTGCGCTGCTAGTAGATATGGTGCTGCCTACAACTGTAATAGTTAGAAGCCGCTTAGATAAGTGCTGCCTCCAACTGTAATAGTACACTGCTTAGATATGGTGCTGCCTCCAACTGTAATAGTACACCGCTTAGATACTGGTGCTGCTGCCCAACTGTAATAGTACACCGCTTACACTGTAATATATGGTGCTGCCTCCAACTGTAATAGTACACTGCTTAGATATGGTGCTGCTTCCAACTGTAATAGTACACTGTGCTGCCAACTGTAATAGTACACTGCTTCCAAGATATGGTGCTGCCTCCAACTGTAATAGTACACACTGTAATAGTACACTGTTTAGATATGGTGCTGCCTCCAACTGTAATAGTACACTGCTTAGATATGGGTGCTGCCTCCAACTGTAATAGTACACTGCTTAGATATGGTGCTGCCTCCAACTGTAATAGTACACTGCTTAGATATGGTGCTGCCTCCAACTGTAATAGTACACTGCTTAGATATGGTGCTGCCTCCAACTGTAATAGTACACTGCTTAGATATGGTGCTGCCTGCCTACACCGCTTGCGATATAGTGCTGCCTCCAATAGTACACTGCTGAGATATGGTTGCTGCCTCCACTTGTGCATGCTTAGATATGGTGCTGCCTCCAACTGTAATAGTACACCGCTTAGATATGGTGCTGCCTCCAACTGTAATAGTACACCGCTTAGATATGGTGCTGCCTCCAACTGTAATAGTACACTGCTTAGATATGGTGCTGCCTCCAACTGTAATAGTACACTGCTTAGATATGGTGCTGCCTCCAACTGTAATAGTACATCGCTTAGATATGGTGCTGCCTCCAACTGTAATCCAACTGCTAATAGTACATCGCTTAGATAAGTGCTGCCTCCAACTGTAATAGTACACTGCTTAGATATGGTGCTGCCTCCAACTGTAATAGTACACTGCTTAGATATGGTGCTGCCTCCAACTGTAATAGTACACTGCTTAGATATGGTGCTGCAACTGTAATAGTACATCCTTAGATATGGTGCTGCCTCCAACTGTAATACACTCGCAGTAATATGGTAGCTGCTGCCTCCAACTGTAATAGTACACTGCTTAGATATGGTGCTGCCTCCAACTGTAATAGTACACTGCTAGATATGGTGCTGCTCCAACTGTAATAGTACACTGCTTAGATATGGTGCTGCCTCCAACTGTAATAGTACACTGCTTAGATATGGTGCTGGCCTCCAACTGTAATAGTACACCGCTTAGATATGGTGCTGCCTCCAACTGTAATAGTACACTGCTTAGATATGGTGCTGCCTCCAACTGTAATAGTACACTGCTAGATATGGTGCTGCCTCCAACTGTAATAGTACACTGCTTAGATATGGTGCTGCCCCAAAACTGTACATAGTAACTCCAACTGTAATAGTACACTGCTTAGATATGGTGCTGCCTCCAACTGTAATAGTACACTGCTTAGATATGGTGCTGCCTAAAACAACTGTAATAGTACACCGCTTAGATATGGTGCTGCCTCCAACTGTAATAGCCTACACTGCTTAGATATGGTGCTGCCTCCAACTGTAATAGTACACGCTTAGATATGCTGTCACAACTAGCCTCTCAACTGTAAGAGTACACTGCTTAGATATGGTGCTGCCCCAACTGTAATAGTACAGCTCGCTTAGATATGGTGCTGCCTACAACTGTAATAGTACACTGCTGAGATATGGTGGTGCTGCCTCCAACGTAATAGTACACTGCTTAGATATGGTGCTGCCTCCAACTGTAATAGTACACCGCTTAGATATGGTGCTGCCCCCAACTGTAATAGTACATCGCTTAGATATGGTCTGCCTATGTACACTGCTTAGTGCTGCCTCCAACTGTAATAGTACACTGCTTAGATATGGTGCTGCCTCCAACTGTAATAGTACACTGTGCTTAGATATGGTGCTGCCTCCTACACTGTAATAGTACACTGTAATAGTACTGAGATATAGTGCTGCCTCCTAGCCTCCAACTGTAATAGTACACTGCTTAGATATGGATATAGTGCTGCCTCAACAACTGTAGATAGTACAACTGTAATAGTAGATATGGTGCTGCCTCCAACTGTAATAGTACACCGCTGAGATATGGTGCTGCCTCCAACTGTAATAGTACACTGCTTAGATATGGTGCTGCCTACAACTGTAATAGTACACCGCTTAGATATGGTGCTGCCTCCAACTGTAATAGTACACTGCTTAGATATAGTGCTGCCTCCAACTGTAATAGTACACCGCTGAGATATGGTGCTGCCTCCAACTGTAATAGTACATCGCTTAGATATAGTGCTGCCTCCAACTGTAATAGTACACTGCTGAGATATGGTGCTGCCTCCAACTGTAATAGTACACTGCTTAGATATGGTGCTGCCTCCAACTGTAATAGTACACCGCTTAGATATGGTGCTGCCTCCAACTGTAATAGTACACTGCTTAGATATGGTGCTGCCTCCAACTGTAATAGTACACTGCTTAGATATAGTGCTGCTTCCAACTGTAATAGTACACCGCTTAGATATGGTGCTGCCTAAAACTGTAATAGTACACTGCTTAGATATGGTGCTGCCTCCAACTGTAATAGTACACTGCTTAGATATAGTGCTGCCTCCAACTGTAATAGGTCATGGATTCGTTTTGCAAAGGAAAACATAAAGACCTAGAACATTATACTGATCATTGAATATTAGATGAGGGTGAAAAAGTGTACATCCTGGTTTATGTTGCACGGGTACAAGCACTAGGAAATAAATCAATGGTATCATGGTCAACCCTTCTTGGCTACATCTGTGATACTGTGCTCAACACTTCTAGGCTTCAACTGTGATACTGTGCTCAACACTTCTTGGCTACAACTGTGATACTGTGCTCAACACTTCTAGGCTACAACTGTGATACTGTGCTCAACACTTCTGGGCTACAACTGTGATACTGTGCTCAACACTTCTAGGCTACAACTGTGATACTGTGCTCAACACTTCTAGGCTACAACTGTGATACTGTGCTCAACACTTCTGGGCTACAACTGTGATACTGTGCTCAACACTTCTGGGCTACAACTGTGATACTGTGCTCAACACTTCTAGGCTACAACTGTGATACTGTGCTCAACACTTCTTGGCTACAACTGTGATACTGTGCTCAACACTTCTGGGCTAAAACTGTGATACTGTGCTCAACACTTCTGGGCTACAACTGTGATACTGTGCTCAACACTTATGGGCTACAACTGTGATACTGTGCTCAACACTTCTAGGCTACAACTGTGATACTTTGCTCAACACTTCTTGGCTACAACTGTGATACTGTGCTCAACACTTCTAGGCTACAACTGTGATACTGTGCGCAACACTTCTAGGCTACAACTGTGATACTGTGCTCAACACTTCTAGGCTACAACTGTGATACTGTGCTCAACACTTCTAGGCTACAACTGTGATACTGTGCTCAACACTTCTGGGCTACAACTGTGATACTGTGCTCAAAACACTTCTGGGCTACAACTGTGATACTGTGCTCAACACTTCTAGGCTACAACTGTGATACTGTGCTCAACACTTCTGGGCTACAACTGTGATACTGTGCTCAACACTTCTGGGCTACAACTGTGATACTGTGCTCAACACTTCTAGGCTACAACTGTGATACTGTGCTCAACACTTCTGGGCTACAACTGTGATACTGTGCTCAACACTTCTAGGCTACAACTGTGATACTGTGCTCAACACTTTTGGGCTACAATTGTAGTACTGTGTTCAACCTTTCTTGGCTACAGCTGGGATACAAAAAGGTTTCATTCTTTCTAGTACAGGATATTTCTATCTGTCTAATATACATGTATTTTACAGTTAAAGATACTTTATAAATAAAAATTATGCAGCAGGAAAAAGAAAGGGCCTGTTTTCAGGCAATGAGATGTATTGGATAAAAGGTGCTAGATGAGTGAATGGGTAAGGCTAACCTAGCCACCTTTTCTTCTCAGAAAATCTCCTCATACCCATCTTAGGTTTTCTTAAAGTGGAAAAAGAATGTCCATCTCAAAAAGAGTTTTGAACACATGCCTGTATGCAAGTGAATAGCTGTACTACTGCAATGTCTAGAAATTACCAAGAGTGAGTCATGTGATCATAGCTGCAACAAATTTTAAGAAAATAAAGCTTTCCCACGGTGCAATATTTCTAATTTGTACGATTTGAGTACACCCTTTAGATTCTATATGATATCTCATGGTTCATGCAGATATAGGGGAATCTACTTTACTGAAAGACAGTTTCTATGATGACCCTGAATCTAAAACAATGCTGCTGCTCAATAGATAATCTATTTAACCTGCAAACACAGGAAAAGAATAAAGTATAGAGAAGATTGAGACAAATAGCAGACAAGGAAACTCATGAACATTTTTACAACTTTAACTTCATGGCAGCAGGTCAATGTGCCAGGGAAAACCACACACAATTTGTATCACCCTTGTTAAAAGTGAAACAGTCAGCAGTTTCCTAAAACCAAACAAAACAAAACTATATGCATGTATATTATTTCAAATTAGGCTGGGCGGATTGTATCACGATCTAATGTTAGTTTAAAAAAAATTACAAACTTTCTTCTTCTTCTTTGTGTTCACCAGCTGTACACTCTGGCGTAAAGTTCTGGTTGTTCGTCCACTTCTGGACTGCAGTCATGCTCCAGAACCTGAGTGTTGCATGTGCATCAGTTTTACAGATCTGATTCAATTGAATGCAGACTGCTGGTTCCTTGCCTCTCAGGCAGATGCACTCCGACTTCAAAGGAAGCTCCCCAGTTAGTCGACTCTTACGACATGCTTTTGGGGAGGCAGTGGGTCTATTCTTGTTTTCCCCACAATAGGGCCCCGGAACCCACACGGGGGAATTACAAACTGAATCTCTGTGAAAACAGAATGTATGTAAATATACCTAATGTAAGAGAAAACTCACCTGGAATGTGATATTTCTGGTACTGTAAACCATGAATGTGAGCAAACTTCTCTGAGACATTAAAGACAGGTCTCTGTGAAATAACAAACCTGTTGTTACCAACTTCTATTTTCTTCTGGCAGATGGAAAACACACCCAAGCCTGGAATTTGGACTCCCTTAAAGAAAAAATAAGTGGAAAATATAAAATGCTTATTTTTATATACATATAACAAAAATAATTACCATGATAGTTCTTTAACCTTCCTCTTTTATCTAAATGGTAAACATTGGACTTGTTCTTCTGTGTAATCCAGCATGCTGAGGAAAATCAGGACAGGCTTGCTTCATGCAGAGTGGCATGCTTCACTGCTGAGGACATGGGTGAGGAGTATTATCTGGATTTTTTTTCACTTGGAGATGCCAGTGTGTTGGGAAATGAACAGGCAGACAGACTGGTGGAAGCTATTTTAAAAGTTAACAAAGTAAAATATTTAGTTTAAACAAACCGATGCTGTATCGCGTCAGTCTGATGTAGCGTTTATTTCTTGTATACAATATATGATTACTGGTTGTGTTTTTTAACTTGCTCCTCCTCAAAATATTATTAAGAACAATACTTTCCGTATGTCCAGGCAGGACATTATTATATTATGAATAAGAACACTAACTAAATATTACTTCTTTAAACTGTAGCATGCTCAAGATGAAAAGATAATTATGCCTCCCTCTCCAAACAATAATATTACAGTCCAAATCACACTTGATGGAAGCTGTAGAGAGCAGATTCCTGGCATTGTTGACACTTTAGTCAGAACACTGATTGATGAAAACACAGATGAAGGTGATGCTGTAGTTTACACAGATGGGTCAGTCATTAGGAGCAAGCAAAGCGCATGGGCATTCACAGTAAGCTCAAGGGGGAAAACCATCAAGGAAATGAATGGCGCCTTTGCTCTTACAACTAGTAGCCTTACAATGGAAACTATGGCTGTAACAAGGGCTTTAGCATGGCTTGGCATTCAAAAGTTCACACACGTATGCTTTCTTAGTGACTCGACGAAAATGCATTAAAAAATCGAAGCTGGATTTATCAGGCAAGAATGGATTAAAACAAGAAGCACTTCACGAATATATGCCCTAACCTTCATCTTTGTGCCAGGTCATGTGGGTGTTCAAGGGAAAGAGTGAGCAGACTATCTTGCTGACACTGCAGTTGCTATGGTTGGCCCAGTACTGGACAGAAGTTATGTTATCAATGCTATGCGCTGTACTTACCGTACAGAGGAGCACGCCAAAGGAGATGACTCCATATCCCTGTCTAGACTGATGGACATGGGAGTGCAGCCTGGAGCTGCAAGAAATGAATATTTCACTAGAGGAACAAGACGTTTAATTAACCAACATGGAACAGGCGTCATCAGTCGTTTTACACTTGTGGAGCTTTTGAGGAGGAGATCAGAGCACCTATGGATCTGTCCAGAGTGCTGTGATGATAATCCTTTCTAATCATTAATCATGCTTAATATTGAATGAACTTACCTTCATTTGAGTCATCTGTTTCTCCACAAAGTTTGCCACATTGTCCCAAATATTGTAGACATCTGGAAAGACATTCAGTCTGGGGTTCAGCTAAGTTTACTACAGAGTGAATTCATACTACAGACTGCATTAGAAATGTGAGGTCTGTGGATTAGGCGTTGGGAGTCCAACTTGTAATTCCAAGGTACCATGACTGAAACCCACTGCTGATTTTGATTATGGTATGGGACATCTGATATCAACTGGTTAAAAGCCAATTAATTAACATTACAACAAAAACAACAAACAAAAACTTCCCCACCCCTCTCAGCAAAATTTATAACCGTTTTATCTGCTTCAATCTTGATTTTTTTAAAACTTTTTGGGTTTTGGGGATAAATCTGGGGCACTTAATACAACAACATATAATAATAATAATAATAATAATACAAACAGTCAATCAATTAGGCGCCACCTCCACAATGATGGTTGATTGCAACAGATTTTTAACATGTCCTGTCTCTTGTCTTGTTGCAAATTCTCTCAGACTGCTGTTTGTCCATCTCCTCTTGTTGTCTTTCCACTTGTATTATTGTCTACCTCTTGTTCTTTTGCCCTCAATTTTTTCCTATATAATGGTTTTAAATAGTGTATTGTCTTTTAAGTGGCCATATTCAAATTGTTTCAATTGGCTCTTTTCTATTTATTCTACTAATTCTCTTTTCACTCCTACTCTTTCCAAAACCTCTCTGTTTGACAATAGCATAACAGGGTCTCAGTCGTCTGTAAAATGCGGACTTTCTGCCAAGGAACAAATCGCTGCAAAACTTGGATTACTTGACAGTTTCAAGAGACACAACACTGCAGATGATAGTACCAGACGATAATAGCGACCGTTGACAATTTCAAGCGTTTCTGCAGACGATACTAGCATACGATAATAGCGACCATTTACAAATTTGAGACACGCAAAATTGCTGACGATAGTAGCCACATTGAAGGGGAGACCACACGCTCCGATGCAGATTAGTGTCATTGTTGTCCTCACACTTTTTGGCATGCGCAAAACGCAGTTAAACTCACCATCAACAGTATCCCACGCGCCGCTATGTGCGGTGCGGATGGGGATCTAAACTAGATGCCTGGGGTTCTTGAGCAAATAAAATAGAGGAAATTGCAGGAAATGCGGTAGCTGCTGCTCGTGAGTCCCAGCCATTTAGTTTAGCCCCCCATCGGCCCCGCGCCACTGCGGTGCCGCATAATCTCATAAAAAGGTCTGCAATTAACATATCGCTAAGACCTTGTTAGAGCATTTGTTTCATTATTCGGAGCCGGTCCTAGTTTTGCCGCGATTTGTTCCTTGGTTGTAAGTCTGCTTTTTACACACAACTGCGGCCCTGTTAGGCTATTTGCTTGGATGCCATAATATCGGGTAGAAATTCGGAGGAGAGCCTATATATATTAATTTATTGGCTCTCCTAGCAGATTCGGTCGGCGTAGTGGGAGTTCTTTCCCTTGGCCGCACTCACAACAACGAGCGGAAAAAGTCACGACTCAAACACGACAGTGAGGTCGACATCAGGGCTGCCAATGCTTGGTTGTGTCCCCCAGATCTGGGTTTTTCTTTTGACGCTGCGGGAAAATCTGGGTTTTTGTTTTTGTTTTTTCTGTGTGTCTGTCTGTGGGTGTTTTGCCGATCTGTAAGCTTTAATGACCGATAAATTTGCGTGGTTATGGGTTGGGTTAGGGTTAGCGGTAGGATTAGGGTTTGGGTTAGGGGTAGGGTTATTGTTAGGATTAGGGGTAGCGTTAGGGTTACGGTTAGGGTTAGGGGTAGCGTTAGGGTTAGGGGTTAGGGTTAGAGATAGAGTTAGGGTTAGGGTTAGGGGTTAGGGTTAGGGTTAGGGGTAGGGTTAGGGGTTAGGGTTAGGGTTAGGGGTTAGGTGTAGCATTAGATGTGACAATTGTGACGCCGTAGCTCCCTATAATCACGCACAGTCGCATGCACGTGCAAACAGTCGACGGACGATGGATGCTACTGACACGGACAATTCGCCACCGATTGGGCACCAGCCGCGCGCTATTGCCGTCATATTTGCCACACTTCCAGTGGCGCCACTCCCACAAACATCAGATTGTCGGCCAGTATTTCGACCTCTTACGTGAAAATTTTCACATCTAACCCTAACCCTAACCCCTAACCCCTAACCCTACCACTAACCCTAGCCCTAACCCAAACCCCTAACCCTACCGCTAACCCAAACCCTAAGCAACCCTACACGCAACCGTAGGACGATGATAGACACCCTACGCAGCCCTACACGCAACCGTATGATGATGATAGACACCCTACGCAGCCCTACGCGCAACCGTAGGATGATAGGTAACCCTAGACGCAACCGTACGCAATCCTACACGCACCCGGATGATGGTAGGTAAGTATGTAATTTCATTCGTGACTTTTTCCGCGACTTGTTTTGAGTTTGGCGAAGGGACATAACTCCCACTAAGCCGGCCGACGCCGTCTAGCTTGCCGGCCAAATCTGCTAGGAGAGCCAATTTATTATACTTGCAATTATTAAAGTAAAGATTACTCACTGTCTTCCGTCAGTGTATATTTCAATGAAGAATACTTCCCTCTGACAGCAATGGCTAACAAACTTTGAGTTCCCTCTGCCATATTGCAATCTTTCATATACGTGACAAACAACCATTTAATAACTGAAAGTAAAAGTTAGAGCTGCCATTTTCGTTATCACTATCAACGTTGCCATGGAAGCAGTCGTGGATCCGTTGTGTGTTTTTTTTTTTATCCTACAGAACTATTATTTTTGCATTCATCCATTTTATATTTTCTGTAGCATGCTTAATGATTTTTACAAGTTTAAACTCTAATAATATAAAAACACACATAATAATATCTAAAAATTTATCAATTCGAAACAAAACTAATTATCTTGTTTGTTGGTGTTATAAAAATTTTTATTAGCCGTCTTCCGCATGTTGCTGTAGGATAACGGAACAAATCTTACAGGCTGCGATAGTTCTGGGGGTTGACCACAATACCCTGGTAGTTGTTAGCTTTGTCAGAACCAGGAAATCAAATTCAGTAGTTCTGATAAAACTATAAGCCACGAAATGGCTGACCATCGCAATCCGGGGATAGCATTCGGTAAGGATTCAGCAATAATAAACAAAATAGTTGTAGAAAACAAAACTGATCTATAACAACAGTGCAATGTTGTGTTCTGATCTGCATTGGTGGGGCGTACGTCATGACGGTCAATATCATATCTGCACATATCCTACTGCCCATGTTTATTGTTTACTTCTCGAGATTTGATTTGATTCAAGAACCGACATCACAGCACTCGGGGCATTCCCATAAGCACTCCGTCCCCGTCTTCAGCAGCCAGCAAAGAGTTCCCATACTAATGGTGCCAGTACTGCCAGTAGCATTCTGATTAAACATCTATCTTGCCTTTCGTCTGAGCCTTGAGCATCTGCCAGAACCTCTCGTCACTCCCCCCAGCATCAATCTCACCAGACTGTGGTGATCCATCTGCTCCTCCAAACTGTACACGCTTTTTCACAAGGTACTGACTGACTGACTGACTTTCTACCCCACCAGGACATCACACAAGCGATAAACACCCAATGACACACTATGCCACCATGTGGGTGAGAATCACCGTGGAGAGGTCCCAGAAACCGCATTTAGCCTTTAGGCCGTATTTATGGCCAGGCTATATTGCGGCCCCTGGCAAGAGCCAGAGCAGGGCTTCAAATAACGAAAAATTCCATCCTAAAAAGGACGAGAACTGATAACCAATTCACAAGGTACTAACCACGTCTACCTTATCATGCATCAGTATTCCACCAAGTTGTGCAGAGCCAGTCAGTCTGTTTGCTTGTTCATTTCCCAACACACTGGTGTTCCCTGGTGAAAAAAATCCAGACAATACTCCTCACCGGTGTCCTCCACAGCGAGGCATGCCACTCTCCACGAAGCATACCTGTTCTGATCTTCCTCAGCATGCTTTCTGAGTCAGTTGCAATCATGATGTGGAAATGTGTCATGTTCTCTAACCAGTGGAAAGCTGCAGTGACCGCCTCCACCTCCATTCCTCAGCTGGATGTTGTGGTACCATATGCTAGGCTCTCCTGCACCAAATGTCGACCATTCACTTTTGCTAAGAAACCCCAAGCATTTCTTTTGCCTCTTGACACTGAACCATCTGCGTAAATAATCAAATCTTCTGAGCGAGCATTATCTTGAAATAATTGCTAAAATTCCACCTCTGTGGCACCTGCTGGCCAGTCTCTACATTCCCGGCTCAGCGTGATTATGACCCTACACAGGTCTGACTGTTCAGGTGGCACTTTGACCCACTCCTCTCCCCATCTAAAGTTCTCAAAGATGCAAACCTGTCTGATTGTGTCTTCTGCCTGAGCCATCCATGACTTCCCTCTTTCAGTCGCTGACCCTTAACTGCACCCAGAGCTTCATGCAGAGGGTGGTCTGTGTCTGCAGCTACCCTGAGATATGACTTCGCCTGCAGCACCTTGTGCCTACCTGCAACAGTCGGCAAACCAAGGATGTATTGCAAACACACCACTGGGGTGTCTCTGGTGCAACCCAAAATGACCCTTATAGCTGCGTTCTGTATGCGCTCTAGTTTGTTCATCTGACTCTCTGAGACGGTAAGCATTCTCAGGCCATAATCAACCACTAACAGGATTGGGTGCTGATCTAATGTGAAAAGCATCCTCTGCTCTATGTCAATTGTAGCCATAGTCTTGTGCACTGAGTCCTTTCTGGCATCTTGTCACAACACTCTCCACATGGTCCTTAAAGGACAGGCTCCTGTCAAATGTAATTCCCAGATACTTCAGTTTGCTCTCTCTGTTGACGTTTCTACCATATATTGTGAGACTTGGAACATAAGCTTTAACGATTCTGTTGTCCAGAGAACACCACAAAACAGACGCCTTTTCCGGGTGGACAACAGCCCTCATTTCTGTACAACACTGTCACTTTGTCTACTGTCACTTGTAGCTCCCGAGCTGTTTGTTTCCTCTCTTTTCCCTGCCTATATGCAAGTATATCATCAAAAGTCAGTATCCTTCCAACTCCTGGTGCTTCGAGGCTTGCAATCTTGCTCGTATACACATTAAAGATCACAGGCGAGATGGCGGATCCCTGTGGCAGTCCTGGGGCAAAACTGCATAGTTCTGAGGTCCATGAGCCCAGTCGGAAAGCAACCCGACGTGAATACAGGACAGCTGCAATCCAATTCACCATCCATGGACTGACCTCCTTCTCCTTCAGTGCAGTCATCAAGATGTCGTATCTTACTCTGTTATAAGCATCCTCGAGATCCAGTGCTACCGCCATAGTTTCCTGTCTGTTCTGGAACCCTTCATAGACGTCAAAAGCAAAAGTAGCTGCATTTGCCCATTTGTCCTTTCCTGGCCTGTTGCTTCCCAGACCTCTTGAGAGAAGCTTCCCCTTTTACAAAAATGGTTGTAACTTTACAGCAACTATCTTCTCCAAGACCTTCCCAAATATGTTTTTTAAGGTGATGATTCTAAAGCCACTGAGCTTTTAATGATCCCTAAAAGGTTTTGGTAGTAGCTGTGCACCCAGTCCTGCGGTACTGATGCTGTCTTAATGCTCTTGTTAAAACAGTCAGCCATCTCTGCCAAGTCTATATCTCTCAAAGCCTTCATGTTACCATACCTGACTCCATCAGGCCCTGGTGCACTGTCTTTTGCCTTTAAAAAAAAATTTGTTTGATTTCTTCCACTTGTATCATGTCTTCATAAAGCATATTCTTCAAGGTGCCAGCTAACTCCTCTCTAACTGCATCCCTGATGTCTACATCATTATGATCTGTCTGAGCTATAAACCAATGGAGAATAGCCTCCCCTTTCTCCTTGTCTGTTGTCACATGCACACCATTGTCTCTACAAATTGTTTCAATTGTCATAGGTCGATCTTTTCTTTGCATCTGCCTTTGCAGTTTCAAGAATTTCCCTAATGTTTTATTGCCTCCCATATCATTCACAAAAGTTTCCCACTTTGCTCTTTTGGCCTGTGCAGCACAGTGCTTGAAAACCTTCACCTTGTCTTTTTTTACATTCTTCACCATCTCTACTTCCTCTCGTGAGCTTGAGGGTGTCTGTCGTACTTTCTTTAGCTGCTTCACTGCGGCTCTCTTTGCCTTTCACACCTGTTCTACTTCTGAAGTCCACCATGGGGGCTGTAGAAAATTAGTTCTGGCAGTTCTGTTACATGCTCCCCTAAAAAATCCCTTGTCAGTTAGAAATCTAAAAGAGTAGCCTAACGGCTCTGCCTGGGCAAAATTTTGAGTTGAAAATCCACCACAAGGATATTCAGGATTTTCCCCAGTGCTACAGAGACTGTGCACTGTGCTGAGCTTCTTCGGACTCACACTTGAGTTGAAGAAGAACGTAGCACATATGGGTTACTACCTGTGTGCCATGAAGTTGATCCATTGTTCAAACCTCAAACATACAAATCGCCCAAGTACTCTGTCCATCTTTTAATTATATCACTTTGTCCCATTAATATTTCACCATCTTTTGATTTTAAACACCCATTGATGTTACTTCTTTTCTTGCCTATCAATGTACTTATTTGTTGGTGCATGGAACTTGCCCATGATGTTTCCCAATCTTTGTGCACATCTGATTCAGCCAGGTTTCTTTAGCCTCTTACATTTGTTCACTTTATCTCCATGTATATTAGAATATTCTTCTTTATCATTCTTTTTCTTTCCTCTCTTATCCATCATCCGCAGAATTGTATTTGTCATCCATTTATTTTTTGCAACTTTATTTCCATGGCGTTATAGCTGTTTTGCACTGTGACATTGTACTGTTACTTAATTTCTGTATCCTATTTAAATATTCCTAATTCCAACTTGAGGTTCTGTGAGTTCTTAAAAATCTTCAGTTGTATTCTAAACTTTCTTATAACTGGAACATGATCACTATAGCTGTCTGTTCCTGGTCTAGTCTTTGCTCTAATTAAACTACTCATGAATCTTTTTTTAAATCAATATTTAATCAATCTAACTGCAAATGTTCCAAGTCCACAATCGATGATGGTGGTGTTTAAACCACATGTTACCAACTGTCATGTTATGTTACTGCCCAAGCTTTCACCTCTCTCATTCTTTCCTCCTAGGCCATAACCACCAGTTACTCCACATACTTTTTTCACTTCCACTGCACTCCAACTTTTGCACTGAAATTTCCCATTATTATTGTTACTTTGCAATTACTGCAGTGATTTTAAAAAAAATGTCTAAATCATTATAACATTAATCAGTGTCATCTTCTGAGCTTTCTGCAGTTGGTGCATACACCTGTACTAGGTTTGTGTCAAGTGATTTGCTATAGATCTTTACAAATAGCACCCAGTCTGAAATTGTCCAATATCCTTTAACAGTTTTTATGTTCTGTGGTTCTAGGATGATACAAAGATCATTTTTATATTCCTTCCCATCTGTGTAAATGATATTGTGTTTATCTGAATACTTTTTCCTTGCGCCTGTCCAATGCATTTCACTAATTCCTAATATTTTTATATTCATTCTCTCCATTTCCCTCTTGATTTTGTGCAGTTTGTGCAAGTGTTCTGACATGTCATGTACTAATGTTGAAGATGTTATTGATGTTTACCTTCTCTACAGTAGCTGGATGATGGCCGGGTAACACCTGTAGAACATGCTGCTCCCTACCGGATGAGGTGATTCTGTTAGAATCATTAACGTCATTGTCTGAATTCGATTGGTGTACAGGCATGATTTACCAGGGAAAATACAGTGATGGTTTCCCCTTGTCTTCCGCCGTTTTTTTATGGTTTAACTAACTCCAATAGCCTTTGTCTAAAGAGATATACCCTGCAAGGCAGCAGAGGGGAGAGGTTATAATGGCGCCTCTTACTCACCAATAGCCGTGTCAAGGAGTTTTGAGGTATTTGATAGATCTAGCAGTCTCACCAGCTAGCTCGCCTCCTCTCAATGACTGTCACCTGTTTTTGTCCACAACCGCTTATTCAATATATGTGTGACTATCCTCAATATCTAGAGGCTGTTTAACCATCCATTGAATCATATGGTATTTTAATTTTGTAAATGTTAAGTAAAATATTTACAAAATTTAGTTAAAAAAATAACTGTCACTGCTGTTTGTATTTTAATTTACCAATGTTTTAGGACAGGGGGTCAGGAGCCCTATACTTAGGGGCGCATGTCTAGTGCTGTCGCTACAGGCCCTGAGGGTTAGGAAGTTTATTTTTGCTCCCAGCAGAAAAACTCTATCACCTTACTAATACTAGGGGTTGAATGCGGGTCCACCCAACCTATGATAGCCTGATATCATAGATGCTTGGCCAGCCACTGCTGACAAAATTTAGTACTGACTACAAACAGCAACATAACTTTATTTTAAAAATAAAAGTAAGTCTTATTGCAGTTTACAATTTACATGCAGTAATTAATTTATAATAGTGAAAAAAATGGTCCAGCAAAAACCTGCAAAAATTTGAACAAATCCATCACCCAAGCCACCTGAAAAGCAGAAAAGAAATAAGAAAATCACGACACTGGGCTGCAACCTGGTATCAGTTAGATGACAAAAGAAAGTAACTGGACAAGATAGAAGCCACATTACAGAAGGCAAAGGCTGTCACCTAACAACTAGCCATACTGCTTAGACACTAAAATATCTCTTTTCCAGCAGAACTGTATATAACACTAAATTTGCCTGTAATTTTATTGCCTTGTTTCAAATAATAAGGCGATTGCGCTAGAACTAACTGACACTGACAAGAATTGCTTCCTTCGCTAACATTTATTCTCTGTGTACCAGATGACTTTGTTATCATTGTAGGCTTTGTATGAAATATATATCAGAGCTATCCCTCATCAGTTTGACTCTGTCAATGACTGAAACAAGTCTACTGCGTAATTTTCTTTGTCTAGCTTTGAATAAATCCGATAAACGTGTGTTTTATTTAAATATGAGACTTCTAAAGTCATAAATCTTCTTGGCATGCATGGAGAAGTCTGCTCTGAGGCCATATTGTTTGCACGCAGTCACTTAGTAAGTACAGCTCACAAACATGCTACATTTTATGCTTTTAATCATGTTTTGTAATATGCCAGATGGTCACTACATGTGACAAAGAACATTGTCATACTGGCCAGTGGTCAGTTAAAAACATTAACGCATCACGCACCGTGTAGCAACCGATTAGCGCTTGATGTGTTCCTTAGGACTCAAAGAGTTAAGGAACTCTGAATAATATTTATATTGTTATAACTTCAGAAAATCACCTTTTTTATTTTATTTTTTTTTTACTGTTCTAGTGTCATGGGTTCTTTTTAGTGGTTGAGTTAGTTTTTCTTATTAAAAACCTAGTGGCTAATTCTGGATTTGCTTTTTATGTAAACTGTTTTCTATTTTTTTTTTTTTTTTAGTTTTTGTATTCAGTATTCTCAAGACATTGTAATTTTTCTAGAATGGTTTTCTATGTTTGAGTATTTCATCTTTCATTTCTGGAATTATTGTGATATTGCCTAGATCTGTGAACTGCTACAGTGAAGTTTATTGATGTGTCTGTGTTTCAACACCTTATCTTTGTTTCTGAAAGTGGTATTTTACATTCATACATATCTCTTTGAGTCGCAAGGAACGCATGATACTTTCATAGGTTACTGCCTAGAAGCCCAATGAATGCATAATGCGCCGGTTTTACGTCTCTCTCGACTACCCCTTGGGCCTGTGATGCTAAACCCTCTGGGACTCAAAGAGATATGACAATAATAACAACACTTAACTTTCCCAATCCAAGTTATAGAATTAGCATTAGTATATACCCCATTTATAAAAATAAGTGAAACATTATTTTCTGAATGTGTTTTGGAATACATTGTTTTGCAGATGAAGCTGTGTTCAGTAATGTACATATAAACCTTCCTGCTGTACAAAGACGAGCAGCAGATCTTGCAAGCAGACGTGCAGTCAAGAAACAATGGCAAGTAGGTGGCTGATATAAGAAGATGCTAACTATGATATTTTATTTCTCGATCTTAAACATAGCTGCAGTGTATAACTCTTTCACTCCAGTGAGGTTTTGTACATATTCTTTAAACTACCCCACGAAAACAAAAGTCAGCACTTTCACTGTATAGAAATGTAAAGCGAATGAAAGTTGATAACTGAGCTAGCCAGATGCTGAGGAAAGCATTAATCAAATCTTAGAACTAAGATGATACTTGACACAATATTTAGGTTGTTTGGGAATAACTTTTTTCGCACTACATGTTGTTTAGTGTTTAAAATAGTTCGGAATATTGGGAGAAAATTTTAAAAACAAGCAATGTGACTTAGGATGTCTTAATGACAAACTATCTTAACAGCAGCTGTTTAAAACAAAAAAGACATCTGAGCCTTTCAAACAATGCAGCACAAATAAATAAAGAGTAACAACAAACAGTAAACTCATACAAATGTTTACTCATCCGTTAGTGATCAAAATTAATGTATGATTAGTGGACGGGCACACAGAATGTGAAAAATTGTAAGTTGCAGAAATATAACTAATTTGGTGGAATGTAGAAGCATGGTGATGTTGTTGTATGTGGCATATATTTAAATTTATACATTTTCGTAATGAAAAGGAATGGTTTTTCCATAACGAAAAGGTATTGTTTTTCATAAAAGAAAAAGAAAGGTACCAATTCAAGAAGCAGTGTATGATTTGGGATTATACGAACTAAACAGTGTGAAGCAGAATGGGTTAAAGTAATAGTGAGTGAGTCAAGTAAAGAACCCTTGTCTTGCTATTTGTGCATCAGGTATGTGGCGCTAGACCTGTATTTGTATGTATCAGTCAACACTTGATTTAACAGTTGGCTTCCAAAACAAGTGAAAAGTGTGTTGAGTTGCTTGGAATGAATGATTGAGTGAAGAATCAACATCATTGCACTTGGGATAACACACATGTTACATCCCCTTCTTCACTGGCCAACGAACAGTTGCCATGCTAAAAGTTTCAGTTGCAACCTGATTAAAAGTTTAAAAGTTCACCTATGCTTTCCTCTCAGTGTTGAATATCTTCCTGAATCACTACTCACCACCTGTTGAATTAGTCTTTAAATGTATGAATTCCCTGTCTGCTCTGTAGCAGTGTCTGTTTTGTCCCAGAGAGCCTAATGTTGCCTGGTAGAGAATTGTTTATGTTTAATCATGTCAGGCTGCCTGGCAGCTGCGTGCCATCACTTGCATCGACCTGACGACACTTGCTGGAGATGATACATCAGCTAATGTATCCCGGTTGTGTTTCAAGGCAGCCCACCCTGTTAGTCACAGCGTCTTGAACATGTTGAAGATGGGCCACCAAGGTATGATTCTCATTTGAGTAGGTAATAGAAATCTACTATCAGATATGTAACTTGTGATTTTATATCTTATGAGTTGGAGATTTTATTGTATGGTTCAGCTTTTCTGTGGACATAAATGGCGAACTGGGTTACATTCTCACATCCTTGGAGCAACATATCGAGATCATATATTAAATATTGTCATAAACATTTTAAACAAATACTAGCTTCTTTTTGAGTTGATTTCTGATGTCACTGCATTCGGGACATTGCCATATGGTGCCCCTCCAACCCAGGCCGTCTTCAGCGGCCAGCACAGAGTTCCAGTTCTGATGGTGTCACTAGCAGTCTGATTGTCTGTGTCCATCTTGCCTTTCCTCTGAGTGATGATTCTGTCCACATCCCCAGGTCTCTTCCCATTACACCACTCTCTCCAAACTGTGATGATCTATTTGTGCTTTTGCACTGTTTACTTGCTTCCAGAGGGTCTTGACCGCATCTAAGTATCATGCACCAATCCATCACCACCAACTGGAGCAGAGCAAGAGACTGTCACTTCCCACCACCTGCCCAGGATAAAATATCCAAAGGGTGCTATCAAGTACCTTTGGAGTGATGCTTCCCACTCTGCATGGATCATACCTGTCTCCATCTTTTTTGTCATGATCTTTAGTCTGTTACAGTCACAATGTCTAGCTGGTTCTCAAGACAGTGGAAGTCTGCAGTGCCCCACCTTCATTCTAAAACTATATTTTGTGGTATCAAATGCCAGGCTTTATTGCATTAAAGGTCATCCATTTGTTTTTTGCCATCAACCCTCATGCACTTCTTTGTTGTTGTGTACACCAAACAGCCTCAAACGCTGGTCTCTTTTTTTAAGAACTTTGAACAATAAGCCCTTCATACTGGTCATTCATTCATGAACTGGATTAAATCTGTGACAATCTACTCATTTATATTTTTATAGCCAAATATGTGTGTACAATTTTAGCTGTAGCTGTAAATTTCAAACTCATTTAATTCTTATGATTTTTCCAGTTTGCAGGAGGTACTACTATTTGTGTATCAAATCTGCCTCTACTTGTATGAGATATAATGCTGTCAGTGAATTTGAATAGTTTATAGGCTTAGATCACGACCGGCTCCAGCTGACGGGCCTTGCTGCTGACATCACCGGGGCGGGCTAACGATGCATTAACGCAGCGGTTCGTAAACTGGGTGCCGTTAGTGTATGACAGGGATGCCGCGACTATAATCAAGAAAAGTCAGCTAAAAATTGTGAAATTTTTTAAGAAGCCATGTAGATACTTAAAAGTTAAAATTTAAATTGTCTTCGCTGGCCACTGTTGAAAATAGTTTATTTCTTGTTTGAGAACCGCTGCGTTAACGCATCGTTAGCCCGACCTGGTGATGTCTGCAGCACGGCCCGTCAGCTAGAGCCGGTAGTGCTTTGATTATGCCATTCGGATTTGAATTCAATTTTTTATTATTAAAATATGTAATTATACCTATATTCTTCCTTATAGATTTATCAGTAGGAGCTGTGTGTGTTTATCCCAACCAGGTACAAACAGCCAAGGATGCTTTGAAAAAAGCTGGATCTTCGGGATCTTCTATTCCCATTGCTTCAGGTTATAAAGTTTGTTTTTTTTATTTGCAAACACACTTCAACACTGGTGTTTTGTGGGAATATTTGATGTATGCTTGTTTTCACTGGTGAATGAGGAGGCGTGTTCTCATTATGAGTTCTGACTAAGTGTAAGTTTGAGAGGGCTCTCAATGAAACTGCAGATGTTTTGTAGAACTTCACAAACCCGTCAGGTGTCTTTCACACTTTCTGTAATTGTTTCATTACTGCATACTTTGATTTCCATGCCTTTTCTACCTCTGGTTTCCACCCTGGAGGTTGCACAAAAGCAGAGTTGGGAGTTATGTTGGGTACTTTCACAAAACCAGAGTTGGGAGTTATGTTGTGTAGTTTCTCTTAAAGGTATCTGAGAAGGGTGCTGGCCCTCTAATACTTAAAAGTCTTATGCGTTCTTGGAGCACTGATCTTGCTAGCTTTAGGAAAAAAAAGACTGAACATGACAAATAGTCACTTCCATGATCACCTAGGACACTCCATTTTGTGTCCAGCACTGCTGACTGTGTAACTGAGCTAGCCAAACACTATAGAAAGCAGTGATCTAATATATATTTAGAATTAATATTGTATGATACCAAAATAGTCAATCCTGAGTGTGATGGAAATAAAAGAGCTGATAGGTTGGCTGGATCTGCTATCACTTCTGATGGTCAACTTATGGATCATGCTGATATTATTAATGCCCTCCGAGAAATGGAAAGGGTGGAGGACTTTGGGGTGAATCCACATCACTCACCAGAATGATAGACTTGGGAGTTCAGATCGGCATAGCAAAAAACGAGATGCACAAAAGGCACATCAGAAGACTTGTTAAACAGTATATAACTGGTACTGTTAGCCACTTGACACTGGGGTTCATTCTGAGGGGAGGATCTGAGCACCTGTGGACATGTCCGGAGTGCAATGATGATAACCCAACTAGCTAACTAACTAGCATTCTAGGTCACAAAAGATGTCATGAGGTTACCAGCTCCCTTCCTCAATGACTTTCCCTCCCAGACAATTGCCAGAAAATTTTATATCCAAAAAAACCCAGAAAATTCTATATCCTAGTATACCAGATGGTTCTATATCCTAGTATACCAGATGGTTCTATATCCTAGTATACCAGATGGTTCTATATCCTAGTATACCAGATGGTTCTATAACCTAGTATACCAGATGGTTCTATATCCTTGTATACCAGATGGTTCTATATGCTAGTATACCAGATGGTTCTATAATGCACCATATGGTTCTTTATATACCAGATGGTTCTATATCCTAGTATACCAGATGGTTCTATATCCTTGTATACCAGATGGTTCTATATGCTAGTATACCAGATGGTTCTATATGCTAGTATACCAGATGGTTCTATATGCTAGTATACCAGATGGTTCTATTTCCTAGTGTACCAGATGGTTCTATATCCTAGTATACCAGATGGTTCTATATGCTAGTGTACCAGATGGTTCTATATCCTAGTATACCAGATGGTTCTATATCCTAGTATACCAGATGGTTCTATATCCTAGTATACCAGATGGTTCTATATCCTAGTATACCAGATGGTTCTATATCCTAGTATACCAGATGGTTCTATATCCTAGTATACCAGATGGTTCTATATGCTAGTAAACCAGATGGTTCTATATGCTAGTATACCAGATGGTTCTATATCCTAGTATACCAGATGGTTCTATATGCTAGTACACCAGATGGTTCTATATCCTAGTACACCAGATGGTTTTATATCCTAGTACACCAGATTGTTCTATATCCTAGTACACTAGATGGTTCTATATCCTAGTGTACCAGATGGTTCTATATCCTAGTATACCAGATGGTTCTATATTCTAGTATACCAGATGGTTCTATATGCTAGTACACCAGATGGTTCTATATCCTAGTATACCAGATGGTTCTATATCCTAGTACACCAGATGGTTCTATATCCTAGTGTACCAGATGGTTCTATATCCTAGTATACCAGAATCTTCTATATCCTAGTATACCAGATGGTTCTATATGCTAGTATACCAGATGGTTCTATATGCTAGTATACCAGATGGTTCTATATCCTAGTGTACCAGATGGTTCTATATGCTAGTATACCAGATGGTTCTATATCCTAGTGTACCAGATGGTTCTATATGCTAGTATACCAGATGGTTCTATATGCTAGTATACCAGATGGTTCTATATCCTAGTATACCAGATGGTTCTTCTAGTATCCTAGATGGTTCTATATCCTAGTACACCAGATGGTTCTATATCCTAGTTTACCAGATGGTTCTATATCTAGTATACCCAGATAGTTCTATATCCTAGTACACCAGATGGTTCTATATCCTAGTATACCAGATGGTTCTATATCCTAGTGGCGTCTATATACCAGTACATGGTTCTATATGCTAGTATACCAGATGGTATCTATATGTTCTATATCCTAGTGTACCAGATGGTTCTATATCCTAGTATACCAGATGGTTCTATATCCTAGTACACTAGATGGTTCTATATGCTAGTATACCAGATGGTTCTATATCCTAGTACACTAGATGGTTCTATATGCTAGTATACCAGATGGTTCTATATCCTAGTATACCAGATGGTTCTATATCCTAGTACACCAGATGGTTCTATATGCTAGTGTACCAGATGGTTCTATATCCTAGTACACCAGATGGTTCTATATCCTAGTGTACCAGATGGTTCTATATCCTAGTACACCAGATGGTTCTATATCCTAGTTGTACCAGATGGTTCTATATCCTAGTGTACCAGATGGTTCTATATCCTAGTACACCAGATGGTTCTATATCCTAGTCTACCAGATGGTTCTATATCCTAGTACACCAGATGGTTCTATATCCTAGTATATCTATATCCTAGTACACCAGATGGGTTCTATATCCTAGTTACCCATGGATGGTTCTATATACCCTAGTTCTATATCCACCAGATGGTTCTATATCCTAGTATACCAAGTGGGTTCTATATGCTAGTATACCAGATGGTTCTATATGCTAGTATACCAGATGGTTCTATATCCTAGTATACCAAGTGGGTTCTATATGCTAGTAAACCAGATGGTTCTATATCCTAGTATACCAAGTGGGTTCTATATGCTAGTATACCAGATGGTTCTATATCCTAGTATACCAAGTGGGTTCTATATGCTAGTAAACCAGATGGTTCTATATGCTAGTATACCAGATGGTTCTATATCCTAGTATACCAGATGGTTCTATATCCTAGTGTACCAGATGGTTCTATATCCTAGTATACCAGATGGTTCTATATCCTAGTATACCAGATGGTTCTATATCCTAGTGTACCAGATGGTTCTATATCCTAGTCTACCAGATGGTTCTATATCCTAGTATACCAGATGGTTCTATTTCCTAGTGTACCAGATGGTTCTATATCCTAGTATACCAGATGGTTCTATATCCTAGTGTACCAGATGGTTCTATATCCTAGTGTACCAGATGGTTCTATATCCTAGTACACTAGATGGTTCTATATCCTAGTATACCAGATGGTTCTATTTCCTAGTGTACCAGATGGTTCTATATCCTAGTATACCAGATGGTTCTATATCCTAGTGTACCAGATGGTTCTATATCCTAGTTTACCAGATGGTTCTATATCCTAGTGTACCAGATGGTTCTATATCCTAGTTTACCAGATGGTTCTATATCCTAGTTTACCAGATGGTTCTATATCCTAGTGTACCAGATGGTTCTATATCCTAGTATACCAGATGGTTCTATATCCTAGTATACCAGATGGTTCTATATCCTAGTATACCAGATGGTTCTATATCCTAGTGTACCAGATGGTTCTATATCCTAGTTTACCAGATGGTTCTATATCCTAGTATACCAGATGGTTCTATATCCTAGTATACCAGATGGTTCTATATCCTAGTATACCAGATGGTTCTATATCCTAGTATACCAGATGGTTCTATATCCTAGTTTACCAGTTGGTTCTATATCCTAGTATACCAGATGGTTCTATATCCTAGTACACCAGATGGTTCTATATACTATATTCTTTATCGTGAAGTGGGGATCAAGATCTTCATGGGCCTACTTAGCACAAAGGTTGGGGAAAACGATTGCAAGAGTATAGCGGCGCGTACCAGACGACTAGGTCAGGCATGACTGTGGAGATAAGTGCTGCTTCAAGAGCACTTGCATGGGTAGCAGAACAAGCCACTAAACATGCAGTAATCATTTCAGACTCTATAAACATGCTTCAGAAAAATCGCTACAGGTAGTCTCCGCTCCAAATGGATAGAAAGAATTTGGAAGCCACCTGGGTGTGCAGGATTAAATGGTAATGAAAGCTGACCAGCTGGCAAGTTATGCCCCAGTGTAAATGGGAACATGCGTGAACAAAGCTGACATCATCAGTGCTGTACAGACTAGGTTAGGGGGATAATGGCACATCTCTGATGCTAACGCAACTGTGTAACCGAGGAGTGGAGCACGACTATGCCGTCTTCAAGGTAAAAACAGCAAATACTATAACCAACTAACTCCTCAGAGAAGCAATCATTAGAGGTACCTTGGAGTGGCTGCTGCATTTGAGGACCGAGCATGCATGGGAATGCCTAATGTGCCAAGACATGGGTTTTAATAACATAACATAGCATTCAAACTACAACGATTATTCAGATATATGCACCTTGTAATGATAGTTACTCTGAAGAAGAAAAAGAAGACTTTTTCGAGAGACTTACGGACACCATCAATAATGTTAAAGAGAAAGAGGACATCATAGTAATGGGAGATTTATATGGTAGGGTAGGTAAAAGAAGATCACCATGGGGAGAGATACCTTGGCCCATTTAGCGACACAAACCACAGATTGCAATAGAAATGGAGAACACCTGCTAAACTTGTGTGCTGAACAAGATCTCTACATTACCAACACATTTCTACCAACATCGCCAAAGTCAGGTTAAAACGTGGTACAAGTGGAACAACTTAGATCAAGCGTCACAAATTGATTTTAATACTAGTCAGACACACCGGCAGAAGAGGAAGGTAAGAGACTCAAATGCTGTCCCAAATGCGGGACTGGATTCAGACCATCGCCCAGTAGTTATGAACATATGCAACTCAAGTAGAAACAGTCCTACATAAACAGAAACGTGAAGAAATCATCAACACTAAGAAATTAGAGGAAGAGAATATCAAACATGAATTTTGAACTAGAAATAAACAAAGGCTTTTGCAGATATTGCCAAGGAACCAGTAAGAATTGAAGAAGAATGGGATTATTATAAATCAACCATCACGAAGATATTTAAAAGACAAGTGTGGTACCAGAAAGACGGGCAAAGGCAAGAAAAAGGGTACCGCTTGGTGGAATGAAGAAGTCAAAGAAGCAGTGTCAAATAAAAAGAAGATGTTTCAAATATGGTTAAAAAACAAAAGACGAAAAGGATTACATTAGGTACAGACTAACTCGAAGAGACACCAAGAGAACAATAAAGAAATCCAAAGAGGATTCATAGAAAAAAGTATGGTGAACACCTAAACACAGCTATGTACAGAATCATCAAGAGACTTTTATAAGAGTGTGAAAGCGATGCGATTAAGAGAAGAAAGCTTCAATCCAACATCAGTCATAAATGATAAAAACGGAAAACCATTATTCAGCCAAAAAGAAATTAAAAAAAGATGGGAGGAATATTTTAAAGAACTTTTGAAACCCGTCGGGGGTACATGAAACAGCAGAATTCCATTCAAGGGCTCCAGATCATCTAGAACCACATATCCTCCTGCGGGATGAGGTAGAGAAAGTTATCAAAACAAGTAAAAGACACAAAGCAGCTGGTATCGACGGAATAACAACAGAAGTCATCCAGGCTGGAGGGGACACTATGATCACCTGGCTGGAGAGAATTTTCAATAGAGCATGGGCAGAGAGAAAGGTACCAGTGGATTGGCAAAGATCAGTTGTAGTACCTATCTGGAAGAAAAAAAGGAAACAAGAGAGAATGTGGAACTTATAGAGGAATATCTTTACTAAGTCATGTGGGGAAAATGTATGCAAAGATCTTAGAAGGTAGGATAAGAGCAAAGGTTGAACCTCAACTGAGTAAAGCACAATTCGGTTTCAGGAAAGGGCGAGGTTGCACTGATGCCATATTTGCACTAAGACAAGTCTGTGAAAAGACACTCGAAATACGATAAAGAGCTGAACGTGGTCTTTGTAGATCAAGAGAAGGCATTCGACCGTGTGGACAGAGATGTGCTGTGGAGAATTCTTGACGATTACGGAGTGCAGGGTCAATTATTAGACAACATCAGAGCCCTCTATGAAAAAAAGTGAAAGTGCAGTAAGAACATCTAGTGGTCTTTCTGAATGGTTCAAAGTCACAACTGGTGTCAGAACAAGGATGTGTACTGTCACCATTACTTTTCATAACATACATGGATAAGATCACTGTAGAAGCAAACCCAGACGTGTATGCTATAAACGAATTACTTTTTGCTGATGATCAAAGCATACTGTATCAAAATGAATATGATCTACAGGAACATCTGACTACTCTCAACAACAGCTGTTTACAACATAATATGAGAATCAGTACAGAAAAAACAGAAGTTATGAAGATCAGCAGAACACACAGGCCACTGAATATAAATGTTGGAAGTGCCAAAATCAAGCAAACCAAAGAGTTCAAATACTTTGGGCAGTATATTTACAGAGGATGGAAGAATGGACAGAGAGATAGAAACAAGAATACAGAAAGCAAATGCTGTCACATACCAACTATCACCTCTGCTTAAACATCCAGATATAAACATGAAGACCAAAAGACAATTGATAAACACCATCTTCATTCCAACACTCTGCTACCAGTGCCAGACATGGACAATCAACAAGACCCATGAAAAGAAAAATAGAAGCCTGTGAAATGAAATGTCTAAGAAAAGCAGCGAATAAGACCAGACTAGACAGGATAAAGAACATAGACATTAGAAAACACTGTCAAAACTACACCATGTTTAGACTACATAGAACATCAAAGAATGAAATGGTTTTTGGACATCTAACCAGGATGAAAAATGACCAAATAACATCACAAATTTTTCAACCAAAGAAAGCTCAGGATATAAGGCAAGAGGAAGACCAAGGAAACGGTGGATTGACGGGGTCTCCGAAACCTGCCAAAAGCATGGCCTCAGAACATCAGATGCTGCCCGCCTTGCTTATGACAGGAACTTGCATCTCCCCCACAACGCTTAGCGGCATACGTGGAACGAAAAAGTAAAGTAAAAAGTAAGTAACATAGCATTCTGTATCCTAGTATACAGTAAACAACATCATGACACTATTTCTCATATATGAACAGTGGCCACTGGATTCCCTTGTGGGCAGACTCCGCTGGCTTCTAGGCTGGAGGAAATCAAGACAGCAGTCAAGGATGGTGCCACCGAGATTGACATTGTTATCAACAGGACTTATGCACTCACTGGAAATTGGAAAGGTGTGATGTCATGTATTACTTAATTGTCATCTTGTATAAAATGTTTTCTTATTAGAAACTCAGCAAATGTCCCATTTCCACATCAGTATGCACTGAACATATGGTGCTAGTCTCACAGTGTTATAGGCTAGTCAGCTCTGAATGAGGTTTTAGTCAGCATTATACTGGTACCCATTTTGCGCTGGATCAACTGTGCAGCCCATGTCAGTTTAAAACATCCACCTCATTAGGAACATGAATCTGGGAACATTGCGATAAATGGCAAGTAGTCATGTGCCATGAGGCAGTTGCCGTCAGATTATGTACAGCCTGATGGTGAACATTTTGCATAGAGATGTTTTCCTATGCCATGATGCCAGTTTGTCCAGTATCTTCTCTGTAGTTCTGTCCCGATCTGGCTTCCTGTTTACCCTTCCTGATTCTGATGACATTACTCTGTATTCCTATATTCAGTATCTATGATTTTGTTCTGATAATTGTATAAATGATCACTGATTTGTTTTGCTTGCATTGGGAGATTGTGATGTTTGCCTTACACGTTGTAGGACCTATGTGTTAACTCCTTGGTCAAGCACTGGGTTTTTGTCAGGAGAAATATCAAGCGCAGCCTCTACATTGTGTGGGTAACTGCTGGCGTTGTAAAAGAACTCCTTTTCACACCATTAAGTGTTTCAGGCCTATGGTGCTAGTCCTATATCCAGAAACTAATTGACACTGGATGGGTAAAACAGTCAATATCTTGCCAGCTGTCTTTACTTGTCAGTGATTTTCCAGTGCTCATATTAAGCTGAATTAACTGGTAAGCCCAGATCTTTAATCCTGTTGTGATTCAGTTGATTGTTCGACCAACGAATAAGCATCTCATGATAATCAGTGGCCCACTTGATCGAGTACAAGTAAGTCCATTAAAACATCAGTAATAGACTTGATTATATACGCCATACAACAACAAGGATGAAGGAAATGCCAATAATCTCTCATCACAACATAGAACACTGGAGCAATAGTTACCGAAACATTTTAACAAGTCCCAGCTACCATGCCTCACACTCTTAACATGGGAACATCGGTACATGAGGTGAAATACCGCTTAACAATAAACCGGACATGAAGTCTGAATAGTCCTATCAAGCACAACAACTTGGAGCTGGTAACTCGTGACGTTTATACACAACGACTCAAGCAGGACTCCTTAATCACATCAGCACAAAAACCGGCACAAAGTCATTTTCATACCTACTTGCTCAGTACGTGCAATTCATTTTTGCCAAACGCAGCGCAGTTCTCGGGGACTACAAGTACTGAAAACCTTCTCCAAGTGTCAGCTAGTATTCTGAGCTCCTGCCCCCTCACTTCATGCTCAAGCTAATTAGAAATCATAAGATGATTGGGATATTAGTATTCATACGTTCATGTTTTGATCCCACTCATTCTATTATCATTCTGGCTTTCTCTCTCTCAGTATTTATGTGTATACGATTGACACACAACAAATCCTTTACCCAGAAAAGCCACTAAACCTGGTTCATTCCTCTGTTACACAATGTTGTGAATGTCTTTTGCCCAGCATCTGCGCAGTGGCCTGTCTTCAATAAACCTAGTTAATGGCATTGGTTTCTGTTTGCAACTGCACAAAGACCAGATATGGCTTTATTTACTAACAATAGCAATTGGGTGAGGATGGGGGGGATGTTTAGTGTGAAAAAAGTCATTATAAAGTCATCATCAATTGCCTCAGTTTAAGGTTGCTGGTGAGGTCATAGGGTCACAGCTTGAGTGGCTTGTGAGGCCCAGGGAAATGTAATCCATGTAATTCTTCTCTCCATTCTTGTTTCATGAATACTCTCCCCTTCATGTTTTTTTTTTTTTTTTTTTTATGTTTAGTAGACAAATAAATGTTGAAAATGTATTTAGTAATCCCCGTCAAGTTTTTTAAAGAATGGTTTGGGTAGAATTATCAGGTTTCAGCTATTTTTGCAAAGGGTTTCTAGGGTGGAATGGTTGAGTGATTGGTAACGATTATCATCACAGCACTCCGGACAGATCCATAGGTGCTCTGATTTCTTTTTCAGTAGCTCCATCAGTGTAAAACAACTAATTATACCTGTTTTTAAAAAATATTTTTAATTAATGAAACGTCTAGTCCTCTTAGCAAAATATTTATTTCTCGCAGCTCCAGGCTGCACTCCCATGTCCATCAGCCTAGAGAGGGATATGGAGTCATGCCCTTTGGCATGCTCACCATAGTACCAATTCGCTAAGTGTTGCAGTCTATTCTTGTCTGACAAAACCAGCCTGGATTTCTTTAAAGCTTAGGCCTATTCATAGAGTTACTAAGTATGCACGAAAGGTTTAATCAATCCCATCTCGAAGGGATTTCAACACGCTGAGTTGAGTTGACTTGAGTCAAGAATTCACATCACAGCACTCGGGGCATTCCCACGCATGCTCCGTCCTCATCCTCAGCAGCTAGCGCAGAGTTCCAATACTGGTAATATTTCTGTCTTGCCTTTCCTCTGTGTGTAGTGAGCTGGCCAGACCCTCTGGTTACACCCAGGTGCCTCATTCTCTCCAGGCCGTAATAATCTTCTTTCTCTACTGATTCCATTGCTCGTTACCAGAGGGCCTTGACCAGATCTTCCTTGTCATGTATCAATTCACCACTCAGTGGTGCAGATCCAGCCAATCTCTCTGCCTATTTATTACCCACCACTCCGGCATAGCCTAAAGAAAAGATCCAAAGTATGCTTACTACCCATGACCTTTCCAGTGAAGCTTGGCACTCTTCTCGAAGCATCCCTTTCTTCACCTTTCTCAGCAAGCTTTCAGGGTCTGTTACAGTTACGACATGTATGGATCTTGTTCTCTAGCCATGAGAGAGCTGCAGTTACCTTCTCCACCTCCATTCTCATGCTAGATGTTGTGGTGTCATATGATAGGCTGTCTTGCACTAAAGATTTTCCATTGGCTTTCACTACGAACCCCCAGGCACTTCTCTTTCCTCTCACCACCGAACCATCTGTATAAAAATCAGATCACCTGTGCATGAATTGCCATAAATCAACTGTTGGACTTCCACCTCCGTAGCACCCACTAGCCACTCTGCACATCCGGCCTGATGTGATAATAACCTTACACAGGTTTCCTCTGGCACTCTGACCCGCTTCTCTACTGGCTCAATGTTCTCCAGCATGCATACTTGTCTTTTTCTGCTTGAGCCATCCACGATTTTCCCCTTTTCAGCCTCTGACCCTTACCTGCAACCAAACCTTCATACAGTGGGTGTTCACTGTCTGCAGCTACTCTGAGGTATGACTTGGCCTGCAACACCTTTAGCCTATCTGCAAGAGCCGGCAATGCAAGGATGTATCCCATTCACACAATCGGAGTGACTCTTGTACATCCCAGGATCAGCCACATAGCTTCATTCTGTATGCACTCCAGTTTCTTTAGCTGACTCTTAAAAACAGTGATTAACCCCAATCCATAATCAATCACTGAGATGATTAAGTGCTGGTAAAGTGTGAACAGCATTCTCTGCTCCATGTCCATCGCTGCCATAATCTTTAGTGCATTTAGACTTATTTGTCACAACTCCCTCCATGGGATCCTTGAAAGACAAACTTCTATCAAAGGTGATTCCCATATGCCTCAGTCTGCCTGTCTCCTTTTGATGTCCCTGCCATGACCCTACCAGGTCATCAGCCTGCTAGAAACTGTTCTTGGGGGCTTCCAAATGCTTAGGTAAGCAGTTGTTAATCCTTAGCTGGGAAAACCTCCCAGTCAGAAGACATCAGCAATGCTATAGATGCTGTTATGGTTAGTTTGTAATTTGTATACATTTTAGATATCAAAGAAGATTAAACTAAAATTGTTAATCTGTATATTTGAAACCTTGTTTCAATCTCACAAGTAGCATGCAGGGCAAGAAAAAAGAGTTATTTATCAAAAGTGCTCAATTTTTGTATGGAAGTTAAAGAATAGTAAAAATTATCTAGTCTAACTATATATCATCAACGCTTACCTGTGTGGTCAGGTTTTTGTAACATTTGTTCTCACCTCATTATGTTTCTGTGGCACATGTTGTGCACTGTATTTTGTTTAGTTTGATTTTCAGATGAATAAAACAATGAAGATTTGTGTGCAAGATATAGTTGCTACACCTGCACTGCATATTATAACCATTTTCTGATCCGCTGGATTGCTGCGGTCCTGTTCCAGAGAAAGATTGTACTAAGATGTGGTAGCTGGTCCTCAGAACCGCAACAATATGTCCAGGCTTCAACCACAGGGATCACCGCTATCACCAGTTTATTTTGTGTTTATACGGTGATGATCCCTGAGCAGCAGTTGAATGGTTTTGGAAGGTTGTTGTCATTTGCTGATGAACATTGATTTATCGACGAGGGCGGGATAGACAGGAGATCGCCAGCCACTGGTGCACAAAGAAATCGATGTATAATTGCCGCCATTTGGTGTGATGTTTCCAATGCCTATGTCAATCCTCTCTGCTCAGGTTTCAGTGTCATGGTTCTCTTTGAACAAATCGCCATTGTCAAGTCGGACTATTACCAGAAGTGAAAATGCGTGATAATGTATTGATCAGAACCAACGTTGTGGACGTTCTCGGGGTGAGTCTGCGATCGCAGCTTGTCATTCAGGGAACACGTTGACCATGTGATGAACGAAAAAGCACGCAAAGGTCTATCTGCAATGAGGATTATGGCTGCTTCCAATATTGAGCAAAGACTACTAATACTTCTATTCTACGGTCTGGTCCTTTCCCCCATTGAATACGCTCTGGCCATCCTCACTGTCAGTGCTACCCAGATGAACGATTCGAAAAGGTGCAAAATGAAGCCATGCGCATTATTTGGGATGTACAAGAGAAACATCATGTGGAGCAATGAGGTATCTACTTGACTTTCCAACAATGAACCAAAGGATCAGGATGTGAGGGCTCGGGCATAGCTCAAAATATGTGCTGATAAGAAACACCCACTGCATCAAGCGCTTTTTAGGAGTTGAAAAGGGCGACAGACTGAAGAGGGGAAAAATCGTGGTTTAGGTCGGGCAGAAGATGTTATTAGGCAAATATGCAGCCCTAACCAACATCATACCTGGTGCAGAATGGATACCTGTGCCTCAGGCGTTCATTTGTACATTTTCCTGTATTGTCACACTCAACCGGCGATGTAGAGAAGAGAATCCTGTCGCTGTTAATGCAGAGGTCAACGCTCTCATCGGTGAAAATTCAGATGAAGCAGATGCAATAATCTATACAGACGGATCCGTTATACGCCAAAGAAGAAGCGCATGGGCATTTACAGCACGCTCAGCGGGCAGAACAGTCAAAGAAGCCAACGGCGCCTTCTCCATGACAACCAGCAGCATGACGATGGGGGTAATGACAGTGACGCAAGCGCTTGCCTGGCTTGAAACACAAAAATACACCCGCGTGTGTATACTCAGTGATTCAATGAGTATGATCCGGAGGGTTCAAGCAGGTTCAGTGCGAAGACAATGGCTTGAATCATTACAGAAGTCCACTGTGCGTGGAGTCACCTTTATTTTTGTTCCGGGACATGCAGGCGTCGATGGAAATGAAAGAGCTGACGGTTGGCTGGATCCGCTATCACTACCGACGGTCAGGCCTATGGATCATGCTGATTATTATCAATGCCCTCCCGGGAAATGAAGGGAAGGATAAGGACTTTGTGGCAGTGAATCCACATCACTCGCCAGAATGGCAGACTTGGGAATTAAGATCGGCACCAGCAAAAAACGAGACGCACACCAGACACGCTAGAAGACTTGTTAATCAACATAGAACTGGTTACTATTAGCCATCGGACGTTGGGGTTCATACTGAGGGGAGGATCTGAGCACCTATGGACATGTCCGGAGTGCAATGAGGATAACCCAACTAACTAACTAACTAACCTGCACTCATATTATAACCATTTTCCTTATACAAATTCATTTATAAGGTGACAAAACCCACTGTAATGTAATTGCATAATAGATTTGACACAGTCATACAGATTTTGTTTGTGCCCTCATGGGTTTCCCAGCAATATGATGTTTTGTGTGTGTATGTTGGGGGAGGAAAAGAGGGGGGGGGGGGGTGGTTTGTAAATGGATGTATAAATTGAAGAGCCTCATTTTTATATTTGCTTTCAAAAATTTGAATGTAGAAACAAGTCTCTGCTCAGTTTGTACAGGTCTCTCTAAATATGCCATCTCTTTGCAAGCTATTCCTAGATAATTAATGGTTTACTGTGGACTCTTGTAAATGTCTGCATGCATACTTTTGCAGGTGTCTATGATGAAGTGAGGCAAATGAGGGATGTCTGTGGTTCTACACACATGAAAACCATTCTGGCAACTGGAGAGCTTGGCTCCCTGAGAAACGTCTACAAAGCTAGTATGGTGTGTATGATGGCAGGTAACTTGGTTATCTTACATAACAGTATATAATATCTGTGTCACAATCTGCTAGTTTGTCAAATTATTATTATTTTGTTCTTTATTCATTTAATCAGCATACTGTTCATTGTCTGCTTCTGTTTGATATAATCAGCGAAAATGTTTGTCCCATTTTCTAATAAATTTAATTACAATTGTAAGGGAGTTGACAAAAAAAATTGGAGAGGTGAAAAGGGGGGGGGGGGAGGCGGAGGAGGAGAATAAACACACTGCCCCTTAGTCAAGTTTCTCACAGTAAAACCAGAAAGAGGCAGTTGTCATTTTTGAGTTGTTGCCATATTATGAAAAAAGAAAAACTTAAACATGGGGCAATTAGAAAGAAAAAAAATAATGCAAGAGAAGATAATATGGAAAAGTATCAGCACATACACAAATTGAGAATGCAGAGAAACATGATCAAGCATGCCAGTCAGCAGGACAATTAATAACTATAATAACATAAATTTTCCCCCCGTAGCAATCAAGCAGTGGATTAGCTTTCATCATCCCAGGTCATTATTCGATCTTTGGCACCCTGTGTTTCTTATTTTAATTGTACAATCACTGAGACTGCTGGAATTTTTGGACGTGAGTGCAGGGACCGGCCAGCTGGTGCTGCAGAATCAGAAGTTCCACAAAGGATTCATGACAATTCTCACCCAGGTGATGTGATTGTATATACAGATGGTTCTATGTTGAGGGGCAGAAAAAGTGCATGGTGGGGGGGTGGAAAGGGGGGGGGGGGGGGGGACAGGGGGTTCATAGCGAAGTTCATAGTGCAGCAAAGCCTTGCAAAAGATATCATGTCTACTTTGTGAATGGAGATGGAGGCAGTCTCTGATGCATCACTTTAAAGGTACCAGGTAGTTAGAATCCTTTGGATATTTTCTCCAGGTCATGCCCGTGTTTTGGGAAATAGACAGATAGACTGGCCAGTTCTGCACCACTTGGTGGTGAACTGATGTATGACAAGCTGGATGTTGTTAGGGCCCTTTGGGAGCGAGTGAACAGTGCCGAGGAACAGATAGATTATTATGGTCTGAGAAGAATGGCTCTGCAAGGAGTTATAAGGGGATCTGGCCGACGCTCAACACTCAGGGGAAAGGCAAGATGGATATACAATCAGACAGTTACTGGTATCATCCGAATTGGAACTCTTTGCTTGCTGCTGAAGATGGGGACAGAGTGCTTATGAGGGTGTCCTGAGTGCTTTGATGTCGATTCATAATTCAACAACATTTTTTAAGATTGCTGTTTATTCATCTCTCGGTGTTATCCTTTCCTGTCTGCCTTTTGCCAATTTATCTTCAGCTTTTCTCTCCATTATAGTTCTTATGAGAATGTTGTGTCTTTTGATATGCCTGAAATATTTCACTTGTCTGTTTTTTATTTCTTTTAGCAGCTCAGTTTTCAATCCCAGTTTCCCCAGAACTTCTGTGATTGATTTTTTTTTGTTTCCATGAAATATGACATGCACACAGTGCGCACGTCTATGGATGCATGCGAGCCAATGTGCATGCTTGCTTGTATGGGTTTTTTAATGATCTTTTTGTCACTAAAAATACATCGGTTGCAGTGAGATTAAACTCATTGTCTACATTCTGGTTAAATCAAACAAGATATATGAGCTGTGAATTGTGGAATAAGCAGACAAGCTGTGAGAAAAAAAAACTGCAGCAGAAATGTAGTTTCTGAAGCAAATGCACATAATATCATGGATGGACAGAAGAATATCATGGATGTACAGATGTGATGGATGCTAAAATTCTGGATATCATAATGATCATGGGAGCTGTGAATTGTCTTAACATTCTGGTTTTTTTTCATCATACAAGATAGGGGAGCTGTGATTGTCCCTACATGTCTGGTTGATCATACAAGAATAGAGTTAGGGAATGAAAATTCTGTTTATCAAACAAGACCTGAGCTGTGATTGTTACATTCTGGGCATCATACAAGACAGCCAGGGAGCTGTGATTGTCTACATTCTGGTTATCAAACAAGATAGTGAGCTGTGATTGTGTAACATTCTGGTTTATCATACAAGATAGTGAGCTGTGATTGTCTGCATACATCATTCTGGTTATCATACAAGATAGGGAGCTGTGATTGTCTACATTCTGGTTATCATACAAGATAGTGAGCTGTGATTGTCTACATTCTGGTTATCATACAAGATAGTGAGCTGTGATTGTCTACATTCTGGTTATCATACAAGATAGTGAGCTGTGATTGTCTACATTCTGGTTATCATACAAGATAGTGAGCTGTGATTGTCTACATTCTGGTTATCATACAAGATAGTGAGCTGTGATTGTGTAACATTCTGGTTATCATACAAGATAGTGAGCTGTGATTGTCTACATTCTGGTTATCATACAAGATAGTGAGCTGTGATTGTCTACATTCTGGTTATCATACAAGATAGTGAGCTGTGATTGTCTACACTTATTGGCTTGAACCAAAGTGATGTAGAACAAAATTTTTGTATTGCTAATTCCTGTAGGTGCTGATTTCATCAAGACATCCACAGGGAAAGAAGGTGTCAACGCAACCTTCATGGTGGCTCTAGTCATGATCCGGGCTATTCGAGATTATCATGTCCTCACTGGAGTTAAGGTATATTCAATGTCTATCCCTGTGTTGTTGTTGTTTTTATTTTTTTAAATTACTGAATAGATTGAAAGAAGAAGAATCAACATCGTAACACATTGAGCTTACCCATAGATTCTCCGTCTCCCGCAACAAATTCTTAGAGTATAGATGCCAACTTGTCCCCCAACACACTGATTATACTCATCTTTCTCTTCCTCTCATACATCCCTCCTTGCTGTATACACTCCTAATCCCATGTTCACATGTTTTTACACATGATATTTCATCTGACCTCATGTTTCTATCAACATTCCTTTATAAATGGTGTTCAGAATATCTCCTTTGTCTATTATCAGTGTTCCTATAGCTATCGCTTTTGTAGCCTTAAAAAAAATCTGCTTATTCATTCCCTTGCAGTCCTGCATATTTACCAACAGAATAACCACGTGAGTCCCTGTAATTTTGAAATGCTGATTATTGGTATTCACTAGTACCACAGTGGGAGTCGGTTACTTATTGTACCATTTGGTGACCACTGTCATTTCATCAGTGTCAGTCTGTGACTGTCAACTGTACAGAGGGAGTCGGTAACTCATTGAACTATTTTGTGACCACTGTCATGACGTGACAGTCTATAACTGTAAAATGGAAGTTGGTTAATCATTGGACCATTTGGTGACTACTGTCGTGATGTCACTGGTCAGGGGTCTCCGTGGCAAATTGGTCAAGCTCTGAAGGTTGTGGGTTCATTTCACGGCTGCATCATTCAGTTCACAGGTCCAATTTGTATGGAGATCCCTGGGGATAGATGCTGGAGCTACGGAGTGTGTGCTCTGTGTGATACTCTTGTCAGGCAGCTATTCATACTGTGGAGAAAGACCAAGCCATATAGGATAAAACATGGTGCAATGAAGTTGATCCACTCGACTTTAACTTTATCAGTGTCAGTGTGTGACTGTCAACTCTAGCCAGAACCCAATCAGCAACCTTCAGAGCCTAAAACAAATGGCTGTACCACTTTGATATGGAGACCTCCCTAGTTGGCTACAATAGTGAACACAAATTTTAGGCTGCTGTGTTCTCTAGTAAGTTATTGTGAGTGTCTTAGCATGTTCTTTCCTTTGGAGTAAATGAGAGAGGCAGATGGGGAAAAACAAACAGTGTGGGCATGCCTCAAATGGTCTCTACCATACTAGAGTAAATGAGAGAGGCAGATGGGGAAAACAAACAGTGTGGGCAACTCATGGTCTCTACCATACTAGAGTAAATGGGAGAGGCAGATGGGGAAAAACAGTGTGGGCAACACACGGTCTCTACCATACTAGAGTAAACCAGAGAGGCAGATGGGGGAAAACAAACAGTGTGGGCAACACATGGTCTCTACCATACTAGAGTAAACCAGAGAGGCAGATGGGGAAAAACAAACAGTGTGGGTAACACATGGTCTCTACCATACTAGAGTAAACCAGAGAGGCAGATGGGGGAAAACAAACAGTGTGGGCAACACACGGTCTCTACCATACTACCCAGACAGATGAAAAACAACAGTGTGGGCAACACACGGTCTCTATACTAGAGTAAAACAGAGAGTAGATGGGGGAAACAAAAGCAACAAATGTCTCTACCAGACTATGTAAACCAGCTGGGCATCTGAAACAAACATGCAGGTTATAAATGGTCTCTACCATACTGAGTAACCTAAAATCCCATGAAAAACAAACAGTGGGGGGGAAATCCTCTTGTACATAGAGTAAACCGGTGGGTCTTGCTGTTTGCACTCACCATCATCATTAACACTCACTATCATCATTCACACTCACAAACATCAGTGTGGGCAACTCACTATCTCTACCATACTAGAGTAAATCACCATCATGGGGGAAAACTCACCATCATCATTCACACTCACGGTCATCACCATACTACCCAGACTATGCTATCAGTATCAGGAACTCACTATCATCATTCACATTCAGATATGTTAGGAGCTTCACATCTCACTATCATCATTATACACTGGCCATGATCCCTAACACTCAATCCCATCATTCACACTCACTATCATCATTCACAGTGCAGGTGGGTCTTGCTGTTTGCACTCACCATCATCATTAACACTCACTATCATCATTCACACTCACTATCATCATTAACACTCACTATCATCATTCACAATCACCATCATTGTTCAAACTCACCATCATCATTCACACTCACTATCATCATTCACACTCACCATCATCATTCACACTCACTATCATCATTCAAACTCACCATCATCATTCACACTCACTATCATCATTCACACTCACCATCATCATTCACACTCACTATCATCATTCACACTCACTATCATCATTCACACTCACTATCATCATTCACACTCACTATCATCATTCACACTCACTATCATCATTCACACTCACTATCATCATTCACACTCACTATCATCATTCACACTCACCATTATCATTCACACTCACTATCATCATTCACACTCACCATCATTGTTCAAACTCACCATCATCATTCACACTCACTATCATCATTCACACTCACTATCATCATTCACACTCACCATTATCATTCACACTCACTATCATCATTCAAACTCACAATCATCATTCAAACTCACCATCATCATTCACACTCACCATCATCATTCACACTCACTATCATCATTCACACTCACTATCATCATTCACACTCACTATCATTGTTCACACTCACTATCATCATTCACACTCACAATCATCATTCAAACTCACCATCATCATTCACACTCACCATCATTGTTCAAACTCACCATCATCATTCACACTCACTATCATCATTCACACTCACTATCATCATTCACACTCACCATCATTGTTCAAACTCACCATCATCATTCACACTCACTATCATCATTCACACTCACCATCATTGTTCAAACTCACCATCATCATTCACACTCACTATCATCATTCACACTCACTATCATCATTCACACTCACCATCATCATTCACACTCACCATCATCATTCACACTCACTATCATCATTCACACTCACTATCATCATTCACACTCACCATCATCATTCACACTCACTATCATCATTCACACTCACTATCATCATTCACACTCACTATCATCATTCACACTCACCATCATCATTCACACTCACTATCATCATTCACACTCACCATCATCATTCACACTCACTATCATCATTCACACTCACTATCATCATTCACACTCACTATCATCATTCACACTCACTATCATCATTCACACTCACTATCATCATTCACACTCACTATCATCATTCACACTCACCATCATTGTTCAAACTCACCATCATCATTCACACTCACTATCATCATTCACACTCACCATCATCATTCACACTCACCATCATCATTCACACTCACTATCATCATTCACACTCACTATCATCATTCAAACTCACCATCATCATTCACACTCACCATCATCATTCACACTCACTATCATCATTCACACTCACTATCATCATTCACACTCACTATCATTGTTCAAACTCACCATCATTGTTTCACACTCATCATCATTCACACTCACTATCATCATTCACACTCACTATCATCATTCACACTCACTATCATCATTCACACTCACTATCATCATTCACACTCACCATCATCATTCACACTCACCATCATCATTCACACTCACTATCATCATTCACACTCACTATCATCATTCACACTCACTATCATCATTCACACTCACTATCATTGTTCAAACTCACCATCATCATTCACACTCACTATCATCATTCACACTCACCATCATTGTTCAAACTCACCATCATCATTCACACTCACTATCATCATTCACACTCACTATCATCATTCACACTCACTATCATCATTCACACTCACCATCATTGTTCACTCACCATCATTGTTCAAACTCACTATCATCATTCACACTCACTATCATCATTCACACTCACTATCATCATTCACACTCACTATCATCATTCACACTCACTATCATCATTCACACTCACCATCATCATTCACACTCACTATCATCGTTCACACTCACTATCATTATTCACACTCACTATCATCATTCACACTCACTATCATCGTTCACACTCACCATCATCGTTCACACTCACTATCATCATTCACACTCACCATCATCATTCACACTCACCATCATCATTCACACTCACTATCATCATTCACACTCACCATTATCATTCACACCCACCATCATCTTTCACACTCACCATCATCATTCACACTCACCATCATCATTTACACTCACTATCATCATGAGCCGTTTCTTATGCCCTCCTATAGCCTATTATAACACTGTCATCTGGAAAGGTACCAACAACTTATCATGTTATATAATATGCTACATAATATTGACATGAACAAAAGCTAACTGGAGATTGAACTTTGACATTAGGTTGGTTTCAAGCCCGCAGGAGGAATTCGTACAGCCAAGGAAGCATGTGTCTGGCTGTCCATGATGAAAGAGGAGCTGGGCGATGATTACACACATCCCAGTCTGTTTCGGTTTGGGGCCAGCGCTTTGTTGGGTGACTTGGAGCGGCAGTTGTATTACTATGCCACTGGACAGTACCCTGCACAGAATGAATTGCCCATGGGCTGATGGGATGCTTACATATCATTTAAATATATTAAATAAAGAGAGACATTATCTGCCTTAGTCAGTATCATTGCTTCATTCTGTAAGATTCTGCTTTTTACTCACTGATTTTCATTTCAAATGTTGTGTATATGCTTTCAATCTGATTATGGTTGCAGTTAATGTGGTCAAATTTAGACACAAGCTGAATCATTATGCATCATTTTGTGTTTGTCTACACATAAGATCAGGCTCATTCCTCACATGTAACAGGCCAAAGGCACAGGGCACATTTATATAATTTATTTAATAAACCAAGCCTAAAATGACTACCAGGAAATGTCCTGGAAAGCAAAGGTTGCCAGCATATAATGACCATATCATCCGTCAAATGCTGATTGGTTAATAAGAATTTCAGTCTTGCATCAAATGCTTGATGCACCACTGATATAAAAAAGTATTCTTTACTTTTTACTTACTGCAAGGACTCTGTAGTCCAAAAGGGTTGTATTATAGTAGGTCCCATGTCATTATAACATACTTGCCATTGAAGAGGCTGATACACTGTCAAAAGTAAATTATAACAATATCTCTGCCAGATAATGAACATAACATGTGATAAAGCCTACAGGTATAAAAGAAGTTAAAGAAAAAGAAGCACGTTGAAAGTATTTTTTAAAATAGAATTACGTGCGCTTTTGTTCGTTTATTACCGTATCTTAAAAAAGAATATAAGCAGCTCTTTCTGGTATTTTGATCTGAGTTATATCCCCTGCAAAAAGTAACGCCGTAAGTACAATTCAGTTGTACCCCTTTAACTTTCTGCAATTAGGTGTTTGAAAGTTCATTTTCCGAAAATATTTCCTCACAAGGGTGCCTGAATCTGGGAGCTTAGACGTGGTGGCTGAGTTGATAACGACTGTGGCAGAACTACTTGCTTGCATCAGTGTTTTCTCTGCCACCGATCTTCCTGAACATATTTTATGTTCAGACACGAGTCAGTCTGCAATCTTACCTAGCCTCAACCTGGGAGCACCACCTCCCTTCCTCCCTCCCTCTATCTGTCTATCTTGAGTTTCAGTGTATCACTTAGAACTTGACTTGGTGTAGGCTCGCCTGTCTCACTGTGTAATTTGGAGTTTCTGTGTCTCATTATACTACTCGATACATATGAGCAGACAAAACAACAGGTTGCCTTGTAACCACAGTATGCTGCAATAGAGTTGTGTCAAACAGTTAAGTGGGGGTTCTGGGATTTGCACTTGTTTTTGTTTTAGCCCTGGCACCCTAATTGCCTGGCCTGGATTGCATGTCTATGATTCTGGCCTAAGCTATTATTACACTGTTACATATCTTTCCAGCGAGTATTGAACAGCTGATATTAGAAAGCCATGAGCAGTTGCATGTTCTGCAGCTTAACAAGGATGTGCAGAAGAAATATAGAGGAGTAAACACTATGCAGTTTTTCTTTGAGGGGAAAGCGCAAACACAGTCTCCCTTACAGGAAAAATTATGCACTCGAGTCACCCACGTGGGATGATCGCAGGCGTCAACCCAGCCATAATGCAATGGAAGGGCCTCAGCCTGGGAGCACTACCTTTTTTTTTTTAAATTGTTTTTTTTTTAAATTAAGTTTTCATAAGTTTATTGAGTTTCCTGCATGTAAGCTGTGCTTGTACGTGTATTTCACCTTCTTTACATGCATCTGCGGGGGACGTGTATTGCTCAGTGTTTATTTACAGAGCGTTGCTTCGTGTTATTATAATGTGTTGTAGGCGTATGCAAGACTGTGCAAAAAATATATAAATTCGAAAATAGAAGGGGAGGGGTACAAAAACATAGCAGGCAGACGAGGGTGTGGGTTGGGAAAAGGCTGTGGCAGTAGGAGAAAGAAGGCAAACAGGGCCGCTCATCATATTTATACATTTAGTCATTTTTGGCCTTAAACAAGATGTGCAAAAAATGTCAAAATGAAAATTAATTCAAATATTCACAAACCGAAAAACATGAACATTTTGTACTCATAGGAGAGGAGCAGTGGCAGGTGAATGACAACACAGTATAGAGAAAATAAAGGGGGGGGGGGGGGGGGTCAAAAGCAGAGAAAGACAGAGACCGGGGTCATTCATTTAGATTGTTTCCCTTGGTTTACAGTGTTTATACTGTGGATAGCTACTTTCCTTTATTGATGACATTTTGTGTTGGAGATGTCAGTCAGCGGGAGAAGTCAGCTAGATGTTTATTGTGGGGGGTATGGGTTGGGGAAGGGGGGTGGGGGCAGTAATGCGGCTAAAGGGGGTTTTTGGAACCTCTATATGGGTTATCCTTATCCGCATGGTGGCACTTTGTGTCACCAGGTGTTTATGGCTTGTGGGATGTCCTGGTGGGGTACAACAAGCAAGCAGTTAGTCGTAGTTTTACTTGATTCCATGGGTGCAGTTTTATGATGGTGAATAAACAGTCGTCCCAGTTGTCTTCTTCTTCTTCTTCTTCGCGTTCACCAGCTATACACTCTGGCAGAAAGTTCTGGTTGCTCGTCCACTACTGAACTGCAGTCGTGCTCCAGAACCTGAGTGTTGCGTGTGCATCAGTTTTACAGATCTCATTCTCTTGAATACAGACTGTTGGTTCCTTGCCTCTCCAGCAGATGCACTCCGACTTCAAAGGAAGCTCCCCAATTAGTCGACTCTTACGACATGCTTTTGGGGAGGCAGTGGGTCTGTTCTTGTTTTCCCCACAATGGGGCCCCGGAACCCACACGGGGGCGTCCCAGTTGTGATTTGGTCAGTGTGTCAAACATCGCTTCAGATGCCCGTGGTTTTTGCTGGGTATTTGCTGCAGGAAATGTAGGTATTTTGAAGGAGGGGGGAAGGGAGGGAATAAACAGGCAGATTGGCTGGTGTTACATCCCATGTCAAGCTTGATGTGGCCAAGATCCTTTGGGAGCAAAGTAACTGTAACAATGTGAAAGCATAAAAAGATAGTCTGGAGAGAATGGTGTAGCAGGAAGGGACTACGGGATCTAGCGCTGATACCATTGGAACTGGAACTCTTCACTGAATGCTGAAGATGAGGGCAGGGCACCTGTGGGAATATCCCAAATGCTGAGATTTTGGTTCTTAACTCAGTTCAGCTCAGCTTCAAACAGCCAGGTTTCATCTTCATGAAAGGTTGCTTGCAATGTGTCCCCAAAACCTTATAGACAGCATCTGTATGTTACTGTTGACCTTGAGAAAGAGCAAAATATTCAAATAATACTGTTTCCAGTTTAGGGAGCTTGTGGAAGAGATCTGGTTTTTACCCAGAAATAATTTCACTGACTAAGTTTAATGCCTCAGAATTCTTCTGAAGGTTATTAAGTTAAGGATATTTCTTTACCAGCCAAGCAGGCCTGAAGAAATTAGGGAGTTTTGTAACTTTAGGCCATTTTTGTGTGTAACCAGATTCTTGTTTTAAATGTAATTGCCAAATAAACATGTTGTTACAGTTGAACATGAAATGTGTTTGTACAGAAGTGTAAAGTTGTATTCAATGAGCAGTTTAAGCGAGCCATGCCTGTTATCTGAGGGGAGGGCATGTGACTGAAAGTGGAATGATTATTTAATCAGTCAGCCTAGTGCCATCTTCACAATAAAGGTTGGCTGTAATTGATCTCTAACACTTTCTGTCTTCTTGCTTTGATTGGCAGACTGCTGTTCATCCATCTCTGTACCTTGTCTTCCCACTTATCTCATTTGGTTTGTTCCCTAAGGCACCACTGTCTGCACCCAGATACCTCTTGAGGTGCTCCAGTCTCCTCACATAGGTCACATAAATGAAGTCTCAGCAGTGCAACAGCTTCTTAGCACTGACAACAGTTTAAATGTCTTTATACGCCATCAACATCAGCATGTAGCAGCACATTGCTCTCACCACTGCATGTCAGAAAGCCACCGGTTCCTTGCCATCTCTGTGTGTGTGTTGTCCATCAAGATGATGATGACCACTCTTTTTCATCAAGTATGAGTACGAAGATGACTGATGAGGCAAATGCGGGCCCAAAAAGTTCTTGGACAGTGAGGACAGGGAATGAGCGTTGTGCCAGGGAGGAGATCTCCTGCAGTGGCCTTTCTGTCCATCCTTTTCTTAATCTCTATTACCTCAAAAACTGACACACCTGGTGTGTCCTTGATATCCTGTCTCCGCTGTCTGATACGTGCTTCTTCTTCTTTTTCCAGGAACCATACCCTCCATTAATGTTCTCTTCAAACCATTAGGGTGTTTAACATGGTCATAAAGCCAGCCACCCTCGATATCAGATGTGAAAAAATGTCACAATTTTTCCCCTTCTTGACCTATGACCCTGAACAATACCCTGCACAGTTTTTAGTGATGGCTATATTTGTTTTAAATGCTTGACACAAAAGTAAAGACATCTGTTTCTGTCTAAGAGGAAAAATTAACATTCTAGCTGTATAACATTACAGTGGATCCCATTTTCAGCAACCAGGAGACAGTCTGAACGGATAGGAAATGGTAAGCTGGGCAAAACTTTTTAATGAAATAACTCAGGCCAACATAATGGCTTTAGCAACATCAGCCAATCTATAAGCCTGCTAATTTCCCTGCACCCTACAATGTGCTGGACAGAAAATTCATATGTTCCTTAACTGAATCTTATTAAGCGATCCAAGCCTTAGAGTGCATAAGACATCTATTTTCTGAGGTATGCTTTGCGAGTTTGTTACAATATATCGGAGTGTACTATTCTCCAGCCACTGGAAAGTGACATTACTGCCTCAACCTCCATTCTCATGCTGGATGTCCTACATTTGTGAGGCTCTCTTTCTTTTGTAAACAATGTTCATTCACCTTTAACCTCCGATGCCAGAACCATCTGTGTATGTAAGAATACCAAAAGAGATTTAACAAATGAAACAACAAAAATAACACTACCTAGATGTGAAATAGCTTTGATCAATTAGTTGTTGCACTGTTGCCTCCATTTCACCAGCTATCAATTCTCACCACTAGTGAGGAGTTGG